TGTGGGCAGGCGTGTGGCGTAAGAGAAAACAGTATGAAAGAGCAAGTAAACAGAGTGTGGGAGATGGCGAATGGACCACGTGTAAGCCTGATGAGGAAGGCTGAGTCATAGAGAAGGGATCTTGTTGGAGGACCAAATAGTTCATCCAAGATTTTTTGATAGGCCACATCTTCAGCTGGGGAAATGACACCATGAAAACAGAGTTAGGAGTCACTGGGGGCAGGCTTAAAGTTCTTCAGTTACATTGGAAACTTATATGTCCCTGTGATGATGGGAGACACTGGAACTTGACTTTCCTCCCATGTTATTTTCTCAAAAAAGAGTCTCAGAAATATTCATGTAGGATGATGGCCTTGGCCCTGGGAAGGCAAATAATTTTTATTCATATGGAAATTCGAACTAATTAGTAGCAGTTGCCTGGAGTGTTGTGATGAGGTGGGACTCTAAGGCAGATTCGGAGCTCAGGGGTGTCTTAGCCCTGGTGGCAAGTATGGTGATTATTTTGCTGACTTTGTGAAGACTCCAGAGCCCTCCAGAGAAGGAGCCTCATTTGCTAGGATACAGCATTCCTCTGCTTTGTCCTCTGATCGCTTGTTCCCTTGAACATTCTGCTGCTGTCTATTTCCACTGTCCTCCCCAACCCCTGCTCAAGACACACCACTTTCAGCTCCCCTTCCTCAAAGCCCAGCACTGACCCATCTACCAGGGCAGCCTTCTCTTCTCTGCCTCACCACCTGGTACCAAACCGTGGAGCCATTATTGGGAGGATGTGTTTTTCTGGGTGTTGCTGCATTTTATCCCATGTAAAAGGGGCAGTGGTTTCACCTGAGAGAGAAGTGGACTTTAAAGGACCTTGAAGGCACCTTTTAGGCCTAGAGAATTTGCTCAAGAAGGATCTGCTATCCTGGCACAGTGAAAACATCACATTGCTTGGTTGGGCTCAGAACTGGTTGCTCGAGGTTCCTTGGTATAATTGTTAACTCTAGATAAGGAGGTTGACCTTTTTTTAAAAAGATTTTATTGGGGAATTGGGGAAGGGAACATTGTGTTTTTCCAGGACCCATCAGCTCCAAGTTAAGTTGTTCTTCAATCTTAGTTGTGGAGGGCGTGAGCACAGCTCCAAGTCCAGTAGCCGCTTTTGAGCATGAGCTCTCACCAGCAGAGCCATCTGGCCCTCCCACTGGCAGCTCAGTGGCAGCTCAGCTCAGGCGCAGCTCACTGGCCCAAGTGGGAATCGAACCGGCGATCTTGCTGTTCAGAGCTTGCACTCAAACCAACTGAGCCACCTGGCCGGCCCTGCCTTTTTGTTTTACTTGCTTTTTCTTCATAGATGCAGGTATGAGGGGAACATTGAAGACTTAATCGAGCCTTGACTCAGCTTTGACCAGTTGTTTGTGTGTAGAGGTGAGATGAGTATTTCAGGTAAGCTGGTTTCTACTGAACATGGGCTTTGATGGGACATGTAACACAGTCCAGGCTCTAAAGGAACACTTTGTCTATAAGGGGTAAAAGGTATGTTCATAGGAAATGGTTAAGTCACATAAGACAAGAGGCATCTGTGTCATGCTGAGGGAGACTTCTGGTATGTACAATGTTCTGTGAGGTTGGCCTAGTTGAAAGAAGGAAAGAAAGGCAGCAATAAAGAGGGAGGTGATAGTGATATAAGAAGTGGGTGTGGGGAGGTGGGAAGAGGAGAGCAATGTCCAGGAAGAGAAAGCTATCCAAGCCAGTGTCCTTGTGTTAAATCATCCCCTGACCCAGGGTTATACAGTAGATCCTCACTTAACATCATCAATAGGTTCTGTGACTTTAAGTGAAACAACATATAAGGAAACCAATTTTATCATAGGCTAATTGATACAAACAAGAGTTAAGTTCCTCCGGCATCTCATCAACATTATAATGAAACAGTGCTGAACAATACATTATTTGAGGACCTGCTGGACACCTGTGGGAGAAGGGTTTTGAAAGGCCTGAAAGTTTGCAAGGGGGGGTGCGTTTGGTCATTTCTTCCAGAATACTAACAATGGCTTACACTTATAGGTTGAGATGACACTGAGTTCTGTCACTCGTAGTTTGGTAATAGCTTGGAATGTGGCCCACAGATAACTGAAAATATTACAATCAGCACTAGGCCCAAAACAGAGTTGTAAACTAATTAGAAAGATGACGTGATTTAAAGTATAAGAAAGGAGGGTAGCCAGTGCTGGTAGCCCTCCTCCCCACATGTTCCACAGAGAGAAGGGACAAGGGTGAATAGGAGCAGTATGTCTTTTATTTTACATGTGCCTGTCCCTGTGTGAACTAAAGAGGACAGCCAAGGTTCCTACCTTCCATTTTTTTCAAGAGGAGCAAAACTGCTTATACTTACCTATAAAAAATCAATTCAGGGCTGGCCGAGTGGCGCGTTGGTTAAGAGCTGGCTTGGGATGCCAGCTCTGTGCAGCAGGACCCCAGTTCGGATCCCACATGAGGGCCAGTGACACTGTCCTCTACAGCTAAGATGGTGAACAACAGCTCAACCTGGAGCTGGGATGCCGTGAGTCGCCGGCGACGGTGTAGGCTGCAGCCCCTGCTGCAGTGGGCTGTCATAAGCTACTGTGTGTGGCCAGTAGCCAGCGTGAGCGGCCAGCAGCAGGTGTGAGTTGCCAGGAGCTGCTGTGAGTGGCCGTCCACAGGGGCGGTGACCGATCTGCCTCACTCGGGAAGAGCGCAATGATAATACCAATATGGGCCAGTGAAGCGACGTCCTCCACAGCTAGACAGAAGAACAAAAGGGCAGTAACTTGTCTGATCCCCTCCCCCAATTCCCCAATTAAAAAAAAATCAATTCAAAGAAAGTCCTGAGCCTGATAGGAGACTGTTAAACATCAGCCCCTACCCAGCCATGGACATCCTCATACATACTGGAAATGGGAACTGTATTTGTGGACCATATGCCTTGGTCTCCTTCCCTCAGTAGATTCCCACTGTTCCAGATGGACCCTAAATTGACTAGTGTAATAAAGCAGATGGTGGGCTGGGGAGTACACAGGATGATACAACTTATCCTTTTCCTGTCTAACCCACACACAAGGGCTGATCAAATGAAGCAAAGTCAATGTCTGGGCCAGTGATACCCAAACTTTAGTGTGCATCAGAACCTCTGAAGAGCTTGTTAAAACACAGGTTGCTGAGCCCTAATCCCCGAGTTTCTATTCAGAGACCACACTTTGAGAATCACTGACCTAAACTATTGGTTTTCAACCTCGTTAGCTGCATGTTAGAAGCACTCGGAAAGCTAAAAACACAAACACTGCCGCCTTCCCCCAAAATATGTCCAGACCATATCTGAGCTCAATTTCAACAGACTCTATGCAAGTGGCACCAAACCTCAATATTTTTAAAGGTTCCCAGGGGATTCCAATGCGCAGCCAAGGTTGAGAATCACTGCTCTAGGTTCGTGAGCCAGATGCCCATTTATGCAGGTGCACTAGATAAAAGTCAGAAGAAACAAATGTCTCTTACTCTTGGTTCCGAGGCAGGATACTTTTGTAGTCTGGGCATCTTTCCTTGGGATGAATGTAGCTGGCACTGAATTGTGATGGTAATTGACTTCTCTTGGATCAGGGTTTGAGCAGAATGGAAAGGTTAAAATAGCAATAGAGGAAAATGGTCAGCAAGCTGACTAGTGAAACAAAATGATTTATTTCTGGGCAGCAGTGAAAGACTGCTGGTAAGTAGAAAGCATACATTTATCTCGGGGCTCTTTTCCAAGTGCATATTCATTCCCACTAGTTATTAGCAGCCTGGGCAAGAAAACAATGGACATGTCAACTGACCCAGGGCTAACAAACTTCCTGGAGAGTTGCAGACCGTAGGGCAAAAAGAGTTAAGGATATTAGTGTGAGAGTGGCTAAAGTGATGGACCTTAGAGTCTAGGGCCTAATCCCAATGATGAACTCAAAAGTTTTCTGCTAGGTTGTGAACTGGATATGTATACACAATTCCCCTTTCTGAGACTATTCACTCCCTTCCCTATTCCACAGGATTATGGTGAGGTAAAAAGAGAAGCCAGCTCCTCCAACTGGGGCTCGTGACCCAGACTTGGCTAATCCTACTATCCCTTTCCCCTGAATACAATGATTGGCCCAAGGGTGAGCACCAGACCCAAGCAAGACCAATCATAGTCCTTCCCTGTAATTGATATTTGGGAGGGGTAGTGTAGTTTGAGGATGGAAGGCTTCTTCAACATAGTTACCTTTGAATTGAGCCCTGAATAACAATAATTTTGTTGTGTAAAGGAAGGGCAGAGGAAGTAAGGTAACAAGTTCAAAGGTTATGAGGCTCGATGGGCCAAGCTTGTTCAAGAAATAAGAAGGCTATCATAGAATACTGTTCCCATTGTCCGAACCGCTCGCCCCCTCACAATTAATTTGGGTAATTCCCACTCAACCTTCAGATTTCAGCCCAAACATCACTCCCTCCCTCCAGTAAGCCCACCATGACCTCCGAGCAGGTCTCCCTTCGTCCCCAGCAATTGACGGGCTTCTTCCTGGGATCTAGGAGTCTGTGTTTACCAGACTCATGGAGCTCAGGGAAGGAAGTGACAGGATAAGGGAGGCCGGTTGGAGGAGTTAAGGAGGTCCCACAATCCCTGCCCCACAAGAAAACAAAGCCAAATCCCCATTCCTGAAGCCCAGGTCAATGCTCGGGGAGAGATACCAGTGCGCAGAGCGTCCGGTCGTACGGCGGAAGTGCATCCCTGGAGCCGTTCTAGGAAACGCGGAGGACCCAGTTCGTTAGTGATCCTGGGGCTAAAGTGGGCATCACTGGGTGCACAGGGCCACTCCACGGAGCGGCTTTGGCAGACAGTGGCGAGATGGCGTTCAGGTTAGGGAGAGAACCCGCATAAAGCAACGCTGGAAAAGGGGAGGAAGCATTGGCATGCGAACCACCTGTTCCTCCAGCGGAGTGCGGCGCGCGCTGATTGGCTGGAGTGTCGCCCGGGTACCGGAAGTAGCCGATGCCTGTCGCCCGTGAAACCAAGACAACAGCCGCGGGTTTTGTGCAAGCAATCGGAGCGGCGCCGGGAACCCGAGCGGAGCGAGTGTGGTACTGTAGCAGCTTGCGGTGAGACCTCATTCTGTCCCCGCGGGAGGGAGGAGGGCGCTGGGCTCCTGACTCCCCGGCCCGCGAGCGGAGCAGAAAGCCAACGTTTAGGCCTGTTCCTGACCCGGGTTCGCTGTGTGACCTTGGACTTGATGATCACCACGGGCCTCCATTTCCCACCTGCACTCTTTCTAACACCACACATCTCCCCAGATACCCAGCCTGCCCTGGGGCTGTCCAAAGCGTTGCTGGAGAAAGACGGGAAAGCATGCCAACGGGCTCCTCCTCACACTGATGCTTTCCAGCATACTTGTCTCATAAGGAGGTTGTGAGGGTTTAACAAAATATTGTCTATAAATTGCTTAGACTGAACACTGTGCCAGGATCCATCTTCGCTCTGGTTCCGTGCCTGTTAGCCGCGGGGGCGGGAGAAGCAGGGACACTCCCTTCTTCGGTCCCGACTGGGGGCCAGTGGAAGCTGTGATTTTCTCTGACATACCATTCCTAAGTAAACTGCGGGGATGAAGTGACGAGCGGTGTCAAAAACTGAAGGCCGCCGTGGCAGATTGTGCCATGTGCTGGCAGACAGGATATTGGTGTATGACTATTTATGGAAAGGAGACAGGTAATAGAGCTTTCTTAATTGTGGGAACTAGGGGGAGAACAGAGGAAAGGAGGATAACAGTGCTTTAAATTAAATATCATCCAGACTGGGAGAAGGACCTTATTTTTTACAAATAGTTATTGTTATCAGCTATGTGTCAGACACCGTTCTAGGCTCAAGAATAGGAAGTATTTGCATGGCAGGACCCTGAGCATGACTGCAGCTTCCAACAGTCATTGGAGAGGGTGGAATGGGAGATGGGAAGGGAGACTGGGGCCTGACCAGAAGGGCGTTATGAGCCATGTTAAGTTTTTATTCTGTAGGGCTTAAGGAGCAATGAATGAACAGGAAGCAACATGATAACTATAATACAAAGAAAGAGGTGAGTGAAATGCTGGGTCAGAGGACCAAGAGAGAACCTCCCACCTGCACGTGTTAGTGAAGACTTTGGGGAGGAGGTGATTCTTGTGCTAGTTATTGAGTATTTGGTAGGACCTGGCCTTTCAGAGGTTAAGGGAAAGTATTTGTATCAGTTAAAATATCAGTTGTATTAACAGAATACAACTCAAGCTGGCTTAGTGTTTAATTTGTATTCTGTTCCTTACAGACTCTTCCTTCCTTCCCCCCACTTCATTTGCCTCCCTATTTCACTTAGTCATTTCAACTATGTCCTGGCTAATATCCTCAAGTCCCTCACTCCCTTATTCCTCCACCACACATATCCCCAGATTCCCAGCCTGCTCTGGGGTTGTCAAAAGTGTTGCTGGAGAAAGACAGGAAAGCATGCCAGTTGGCTCCGCCTCACACTGATGCTTTCCAGCATACTTGTCTCATAAGGAGGTTGTGAGGGCTTAACAAGATATTGTCTATAAATTGCTTAGCACACAGCACATAGTAAGTGCTCATCATTACTCTCCATCATTATTCAAAATGTTAGTGCATCCTCACTTCTCTCTTATCTACCCCAACTCTGCACATGCTACACTGAAGTTAGAATGTTTTCTCTGTTCCTTTTCTTATTCCTCCTGTACTTCCCGCTCCCTGAGGCTTTGCTTACCCCATTCTCTGCCCAGAATGCTGTAGTGCAGTAGTCTTCACGCTGAAGTACATAGAGGGGGTACACAAACACTTTCTATAATGTCTGTGGGCGTGTGGATTGTTGAATAAAGATCAATTTCTAGATCTTTTTTTTTTTTTTTTTTATACTTTTTATCCCTCACAAAGTGACAACCTCCCTCCACCAATCCACCGCCCACTCCCCTCCCCCCATGTCATACATATCTATCACAATTCCATTGACTCCACTCCCCACATCCTGTGACTATATATATATATATATATATATATATATAATATATATATATATATATATATATTAAATTATAGTTAACATACAATATTATTGAATGTCAGCTTCAGGTGTAAAGTGCAGTGGTCAAGCCTCTACACCATCCATGAAGTGGTTCCCTAACAAGACATGTGACCATCTGACACCCTGCAAAATATTTACAACATTATTAATTATATTCCCCAAATTTCTAGATCTTTGATTTCAATATTTACCCTTGCTTACCACTGATCTGCTTGAGAATGGGCCTGTGGTCTATAGCTTTCTCTTTTCCTACCTCCTCTTTCACAATTGCTCTTTTCCTCCTTTACAAAAGAAAAACACACTCTCACCCGTGCCCTCCTTTATTTTACTATGGTTGTTTCACTCTGGGGTGGAGAAAATTTGCCACACAAAGAGACAATTTGTTGAGGGAGTAAATGATTCTTGGACCTTTTGTAACTCAAGTTCTAATGTTTGCTTTCAACAAAATTTTAAAAAGACCAAATAAGACTCTCAGCTGATCGATTATTTAATATTTTTTTACTGCAAATTACAATGTGATCTTCAGCAGGTAAGTTCAAAGGATTAAGTGATACTGCTATCACAGGAAATTGTTATAAACTCTGAGTTAGGCAATTTGGGCAAACTCAGGTCCAGTCATAGTAACTAGGGTCAGTCTGATAAGCATAATGGAAATGTGAATTTTAACTCAAAAGGGGGATCTAGTCAATTGTATTATATCTTCCCTGTCTGCTCTCAGTTTAGGGAAGGGGAGGTGCAGTCAAGATGGAGGGTAGGAAAAATGAATTCAGAGCAAGAACTGGTAATGTATTTATAATCCTGCTTCATACATGTGCTCAGCTACTTGGTAGACCAGACCTTGGGTAGAGATGGATTTACTAGAATGAGTGTGTGATAACTTCAGCCTTTAAGACTATGTAACACAGAGGTTTCCAAACTTGGTGGGGGCATCAGAATCACCTGGGGCCACTTGTTAAAATTACAGATCCCTTGGTCCACCCCTGGAGATTCTGATTCTGAGAATTCTGAGGTGGGACCTAGAAACTAGTATTTTAAACAGATTTCCTAGTTGACTCTTATGCGTCTAGCCTAGTTCCGGGCCAAGAATCATTATTTAAGAACCATTCATCAAAAAACAAAACAAAAAACATCTTGCCATGATTACAAGCCTACTAAACAATTTTCAGGGTTTTATGTGGCTTCCCATCTAGGCAGTGTGGTCCTTTCAAAGTTTTATTTCTCTTTGTTAATTAATTGGTGGGAATTTGGTTTATGCATCAGCATTTTGTGAATGAGGCTTTCTGAGGCTGCTCTAGGTGCATTGAAAAAAACAAATCCAGGTCTGCAGAGTTGAAGACTCTTTTCTGAACTGTGGAGACCCCGGTAGAGGTTTGCTTGTCATCCCCAGACTGAGGATGAAGAGTCATCAACCTCCTCCTCAGGTGGCACCTCCACCTTCTCTCTTTCCAGAAACAGCTAATTTCAGATTTAGGAAAGTAAAGAAGTGAGAAACAGAAAAATAGGAAATTATGCTTGGAAATGTGAATTTAGACAATGAGTAATGGAGGATATCCATATGAGGATGAGGTCTAATGTGTGGCTATGCCTCTGGGAAAATCGACCAAATGGAGATTGGCTTTGATATGAGAAGGTAGGTACCTATAAAGCAGTATTTAACAAATGGCATTCATATGGTGTCACTGGCAGAATGCAAAGTAAAAGAACGGTCAGAGGGGGTCAAATTTAATTGGGGAAGACTTTTGGGATTTGGATTTTGAACCAGATCTTGAAGTTGGGGATAGGTACATACTCAACTTTTGTATCTTGTTTTACTGTGGACAAGTGATTTTCCATTATGGTGTGGTACAGATGGAGGTTCTATGAATGATAACTTTGTATAGAGTTAGATGATGGAAAAAGTAATAACTGTAGGAGAGACGAAGGTGAAAAGGAAAGGCCAGAGAGGGGGTTGGAATAGATAGGGACTGAAATACCAGCTTGTGGAATTTGTTCTTGGTCGCATATTAGAGGGAAATTAATTTAAGACAGTATTTCCCAACTCAAATGGTGCCATGGATGAAGAAGATAGCTAAATTCTCTACAATGAATCTTTACAATTATGTAGATACGTATTATCTATAATTTTCAAAAATTTCAACAAATATGAGAAATCCAGCATTTGGGTGCCTGCCCTTACTCCATGGGAAAATTGGAGAAGATGCTGATGGGGGGTGGGGGGAAGGGGGGAGGGATACCCTGAAGAAAATTTCAGGTTATTTTGAGGGGTAACACAAAGATCTTCCAGGACTTCAGAACTCCAGTAAGAGATCAGATTCCTCCCAGCTGTCTGGGGTGGGGGTGGGGGGAGGGCATTACCAGGGCTCCACTGATGAGTAACTAGAGAGGCCCCAGGGTAGGATGGTGGTAGTAACCAGCATCCTGGGGGTGACCGGAGGCTGGATACAGAGAAAGGGCTGTACGAAGGTCACCCCAAAATCGCCACTTTCCCCTTCCCTCACCACTTGACCCCAGTCTCTCCCTCCTCTCAGGGTCTTCATTTCTTTAGTAATCTCATTCCCCCCCCCCTTTTAACCCCTGTCATTCTACTCACACCATCTCTTCTAATATAAACATATTCAAAGCTTCCCCATCAGAGAAAATCCTTCTTTGACCTCTCATGCGACTGCCTGTCTTGGTCCTTTTTTTTTCATCTACATTTTTTGAAAGAAGCAGCAAATTTACTAATCAGCACACTGTCACCTGGCTTCTGCTCCTGTCATTCCACTGAATCTGTTCTCATAGGTCAACGGTGACTACCTCATTGTCCCAGTAGATGTTTCCCAGTTCTTATTCTATTGGATCTCTCAACTGCATGTGACACTTTTTAATTCCCTCTGCCATTGTCCTGGTGACTTCTATGACACTGTATTCTGGTCTCCTACTTCACCATTCTTTCTCTTCTTAGCAGGTTTCTCTTCTTCCATCCACCCCTTTATTATTAAGGTCCTAACAGGAAACGGATACTTCACTCAAATTAGAATTTGAGGATGGTTTATTTGCAAAGAGGTTAATTATAAATGATATAGGTGTGGGTGTTGAGGGACCTGAGGCTGGCAACAATGAAGTCCTGGGTCAGAAGAGACAGAACAGAGGAGAGGTTACTAAAACTCAATTGTTGAGACTATTGAATAGGATAGACTTCTTGAGAGGAGTAATGACCTTCAATTGAGGGAGACCAGCAGCCCAAGGTGATCTTATAGGAAGGAACCAGAAGAATAAATTCTCTGACCTTACTCTCCTCCCTACTTCCAGCCTCCTGCTGGGTCGCCCCATTGGTGGAACACAACTAGAAGCCACAGGGCCTGTTGATGTGTACTGTATAGGTTAGCCATCTAGGGCAGAGAGCAGGATGGAGAAAGGTAGCAAGATGGAAGATAATTGGAGTACTCTTTTTTTTTTTAATTGAGACATACAATGATGCAAGAAAGTGTGACTCACACACAAAATTGTAGGGTACAAAATAAATTTAGAAATAAAGTATTTCTATAGTCTAGCAATAACCAAAAAACAAAATTAAGAAAACAATCCCATTTATAATATCTAAAATAACAAAATAGGAATAAATTTAACCAAAGAAGCAGCACAAGAGTTATACTCATAAAACTTACAAAATAGTGTTGAAAAATTAAGGAAGGCCTTAGTAAATGGAAGGATCCCATGTTCATGGATTGGAAGACTTATTGTTAAGATGGTAATACTCCCAAATTGATCTACAGATTCAACTTAATCCTTATGAAAACTCCAGCTGTCTTCTGTGCAGAAGTTGACAAGTTAATCCTAAAATTTGTATGGAAATTCCAAGGGCCCAGAATAACCTAAACAATCTTGAAATGGAAGAACAAAATTAGAAGACTCAGACTTCCCAGTTTTAAAATTTATTGTAAAACCAGAGTAATCAAGACAGTGGTTCTGACCTTTGAACAGACATACATCCAGACGTATGACCATGGAATAGCACTCAGAGACCAGAAATAAACCTTCACATTTATTGTCAAATGATATTTTTTTCTTTTTCTTTAAAAAATTTTTTTATTAGTTTCTGGTGTACAAAACAACATAGTGATTGGACATTTATATACCTCACAAAGTGGTAACCCCAATAAGTCTATTACCCATCTGACATTGTACACAGTTATTACAATATTATTAACTGTATTCCCTATGCTGTACTTTATATCCCTGTGACTATTTTTTTAAAATTATAGTTGACATTCAATATTATATTAGTTTCAGGTGTTCAACATATTGGTTAGACATTTATATCATTGATGAAGTGATCACCCTGATAAGTCTAGTACCCATCTGACACTATACATAGTTTTTACATTATTGACCATATTCCTGATACTGTACTTTATATCCACATGACTATTTTGTAACTATCAATTTGTACTTCTTAATCCCTTCACCTTTCTCACCTAGCCTCCCAACTCTCTTCCCATCTAGTAACCATCAGTTTGTTTGGAGTACTCTTAAATGTTAGCTTTGGCTTTTTAGGTTTCTGTCCTCAGTATACCTGACAGTTCTCACACTATACTCATTACCATCTATGCTGAGTACTCTCAAGTCTGTATCTCTAGTCCTGACTGCTCTAAGCTTTAGACAATATATTTTGACTGATTCCTTGATACCTCTATATGGACTCCTTGAAATTCTTCTGAGTCCAAAACAGAGCTCATCTATCATCTTCCTTTCTAAACTAGCTACTCCTCCAGTGTTCCCAAGCTCGGTGCTACCACTATCCATCTAATTAGCATTCCACAAATAAAGAGAGATCTAGGTACCACTTTTGATTCCTCCCTCTTCTTTATACCTATATCCAGTCATGCACCAAATCTTACAGAATTTGTCATCTTAAATATTTCTCTAGTATGTCTCTTCTTCATTCCCAGTACTACTGTTGCCCTAGTTAGATTTTATCACCCCTTGCCTTGATGACTGCATCAACCTTCTAACTGATCGCTCGATGTTCAGGCATACTGCTTTCTAGTTCAGCCATTAAATAGCTACTAGTGTGCATCTACCTGAAATGCTAGTCTGACAATGGACCAAGTCACTTCTTGACTTAAAAACCATTCTATAACTCTGCATTTTCTAAAGGATAAAGTCCCATAGCTGCCCATTCCCCCCTTGAAAATCACCTTCCACAGTTAATACTTTTACTGATAGGAGGATTACAGTCCTCAGATTTGCTGTAGTACAGAAGTGCACTGGCTTAGGCAAGGGGCCTCTTCAGTGTCAGCTCCAGGTTGCTTACTACCTGAACAGAGGCCAGGCTTATTCTCTCAGCATTTGGACGTTACTTCTCTGGGACAGCTAAATAAATCCCTGTGTCCATTGTACCATTTAGGAATAGGTTTGGCTTGATAAATAAAAAAAAAACCATGGGCCGGCCGAGAGGCGTGTTGGTTAGGAGTTGACTTGGGACACAAACTCTGAGCAGCAGGACCCCAGTTTGGATCCCACATATGAGGGCCAGTGACGCTGCCCTCTACAGCTAAGATGGTGAACAACAGCTCGACCTGGAGCTGGGCTGCCGTGAGTCGCCAGGGACTGCGTAGGCTGCGGTGTGGCTGGTGGGCAGCTGGCGTGCACTTTTGTGAGCTGCTGTGAGCCGCTGTGAGTGGCTTTCCAATGGCTGGTGGGCAACTGCCTCACCTGGGAAGAGCACAGTGATAATACCAACATGGGCCAGTGATGTGACATCCTCCACAACTAGACTGAAGAACAAAAAGACAGCAACTTGTCTGTTCCCCTTCCCCCGATTCCCCAATGCTGTTCCCCTCCCCCAGTTCCCCAATTAAAAAAAAACAACCATAATGGCTTGAGCAAGAAAAAGCTTATTTTTTTCTTAGATAAAAGAAGTGCAGAGGCAGGCATTCCAGGGCTGCTGTGGCAACTCCATAGAGTCATCAGGGACCCAGGTTCTTTCTAGCTCTGGTTCCGTCGTAGGGTGTGCTGGTGTACTCATGGTTCAAGATGGCACTCTAACTACCAGCTCATACCCCAGGCACAGTGTGGAAGAAGAGGGTAAAGAAATGCATCCTCTTACCCTTAAGGAGACTTCCTAGAAGTTCCATGTTCTTTCATTTGCATCTTACTGTCTTGTTGGCCAGAAGTTGGTCACATGGCAAAACCTAGCTGCAAAGAAGGCTGAGAATTTATTTCCTTAGCTGGCTCATTGCAGTGCTAAATAAATTCATTATTCTGTTGCTGATGAGGTGTGGAAGAATGGATATTGGGGTAGACAACTAAAAATCTTTAACTAAATCTAGTTAGAGATTTAAAAAGTATAGGCTTTAAGATCTATAAAAGTACTAAGAAAATTCTATAAAAGGTCCAATTACAAAATTAGGATCAACATTGGATATTGGTATTAACAATGGTGTAAAAATCAACAGTATTGTGTGTGTGTATGTGTATATATATATGTGTGTGTGTATATATATATATATATATATATATATATATATATATATATATAAATAATCAGGATAAGTTTGGAAATTTTGCAAAATTATATTAAAATTTACTTAGAAATATATGAAAATTGGACATATTTTAAAAAGAAGACTAATAAGAGAGAACTTTCTCTAACATATTAAAATTTTAATAAAGCTACAGTAAGATGAACAGTTTGGTATTAGAGAGGGAATATACAGATCAATAGAACTGAATGGAGTCTGGAAATTAACCCAGATTTATATGGTCATTTAGACTATGGTATAGGTGACATTTCAAATCAGTAAGGAAAAGAAAAGTAGGAATTGATACAATTTACTTACCATCGGGAGAAAATTAAGTTAGAACCTACTTCATCCAAATATAAAGGAGCCAAGAGTAGTTACTTCTGCGCTAAGTCATGTAACCTTTTGAATGGGTACCTTGACAATCCCCTGTTGTGTAGAGCTGGAGAGTACTGCAGGACTGGACTAGGGATAGTTCCTCTTGCTACTCATTTTCTGGTTATTTCTATAAACTCCAGAGTTATTAGTCATTTTTTGCCCTTTCTCCCAATCTTTCCTATACCTCATCTATTAATATAGCCATCATTTTCCCTAAATGTTTTCTTTACCAACCTCAGGTTCTGTCTCAACTCACTGCTAATATTAATGAACTTTTATCAGCATCATACCATCCATTTCCTGTTTCTCTCCTTAAATCTCTTCCTTTGATAATTCCTGTCACTCTTTTCAGTCATTGCTTGCTGTTTGTTTAGCATACCCACCATAATCCTAAATCTATTTCCCTTCAGCAGCATCCTGCAATTTCACCAGATACCAAGACTATTTATGAGTGCTGTCAGAACCATGTCAAAGCTGCATAATCCTCTAGCATTAGCTTCATTTAGATATGAAATAGCCATTTCACATACTTACCCTCTCTCATTTCAGATTGTGAGATGGGGACTGAGAACAAGGAGGTAATTCCAAAGGAAGAAGTTTCTGAAGAATCTGAGCCACCTGGGGCAACATTAGAAAAATCTCCAGAGGTGGTTTATCAGGTTCATGAGTTTGGAGCAGCATGTGAAGAAGACATGTTGGACGGGCATACGAGAGAGTCCACAGAAGAAGTTATGGAGCAGATGTCTCCTCAGGAGAGAGACTTTGCATCAGGGTTGATTATCTTTAAGAAATCACCCTCAAGTGAGAAAGACCAGGAGAATAATGAAAATGAGAGAGCCTTCAGTCCCAGCTCAAACCTGATTATACATCAGGGAGATACTACAGCAGAGGCAGTTAGTACATTTGCTACCTCTGGCCAAAACTTCATAGAGAATTTAGAAGTTAACAAAACACAGAGAAGTTCTGTGGGAGAAAAGCCTCATTCGTGTAAAGAATGTGGGAAAGCCTTTAATCAGAACTCACATCTTATCCAGCATATGAGAGTTCATAGTGGAGAGAAACCCTTTGAATGCAAAGAATGTGGAAAAACATTTGGAACTAACTCAAGCCTTCGCAGGCACCTGAGAATTCATGCTGGAGAGAAGCCCTTTGCTTGTAATGAATGTGGAAAGGCCTTCATTCAGAGCTCACATCTTATCCACCATCATAGAATTCATACTGGAGAAAGACCTTATAAATGTGAAGAATGTGGTAAAGCCTTCAGTCAGAATTCAGCCCTTATTCTCCATCAGAGAATCCACACCGGAGAGAAACCATATGAATGTAATGAATGTGGGAAGACCTTTAGGGTTAGCTCACAGCTTATTCAGCATCAGAGAATTCATACTGAAGAAAGATATCATGAATGCAGTGAGTGTGGCAAAGCCTTCAAGCATAGCTCAGGCCTTATCAGACACCAGAAAATTCATACTGGAGAAAAACCATACCTGTGTAACGAATGTGGGAAAGGCTTTGGTCAGAGTTCTGAGCTTATCCGGCATCAAAGAATTCATACAGGGGACAAACCGTATGAATGTAATGAATGTGGGAAAACTTTTGGCCAGAACTCAGAGATTATTAGACATATTCGAATTCATACTGGTGAGAAGCCCTATGTATGTAAGGAATGTGGGAAGGCTTTTAGGGGGAACTCAGAACTTCTTAGGCATGAGAGAATTCACACTGGAGAGAAACCCTATGAGTGCTTTGAGTGTGGAAAGGCTTTTAGGCGGACCTCTCACCTTATCGTCCACCAGAGAATTCATACTGGAGAGAAACCTCATCAGTGTAATGAATGTGCAAGAACCTTCTGGGATAACTCGGAGCTGCTTCTCCACCAGAAAATTCACATTGGAGAGAAACCTTATGAATGTAAGGAGTGTGAGAAAACATTCAGCCAGCATTCCCAACTTATCATACATCAGAGAATTCACACTGGAGAGAAGCCTTATGAATGCCAAGAGTGTCAGAAGACCTTTAGCCGGAGCTCTCACCTCCTCCGACATCAAAGTGTCCACTGTATGGAATGATCTGCAAAATAGGAAAGCTTTCTATAGAAAAGCTGAAAAGTCAGACTTATTGTTCATAATCTGCACCCCAAGTTCTGAGATCAAATGAATGGACAAAATATCCTCTGTCCTTGTACTGATTCTTATTTAAACAGTTGGTCAAATAGGATGAGGCACTTTTATGAACTATTCATTGAGAAGTTTCAATGTACTGAGTTAAATCATAAAACCATAATTCTTTTCTGTCCCTTTTTCCTTCCTTCCTCTCTCCTCCCTTAGTGGATCACATTACATTAGGGGTCTATACCAGCCATCTATCTTAAATTGTTACTCTTAAAGAAAAATGGAGGAATGTGATTCCACCACCTCCTAAGAATGAGAGTTGACTCATTGAATGTTATTCCTGAAATGTTGGAAAGTTGCAGCCTAGAAGACATATCTTGTTCTCTTGTCCACTATTTAGCATTGGAATAATTTAGTAAGCTTTTATTAGTTTCAAAGTCTTCCAAACATGCTGTCAAGTTCCGTTAGAAGATGGCGGCACTAATGAAGAAGCGGGAAGCTTGGGTCGTTCCACATCTGCTAGGTTTCCTCATTTATCTGAAGAGGGTGCCACGATGGAGGAGACTGACAGGCAACTTACAGGATTGTAAGTGAAGTTCCTTAGAATCCAAAGGGGCTGATGAGCAGGGCCAGGAATAAACATGTGAGGCCAGACTGCTCAGCATGGGGAGAAGCAGCTCTTTAGCAGCTATTCCTCACTCCAGGCTGCTCACACTGACTGCTCCCAAGAACTCGACTGCATTCACCTTTGGCCCCAGCTCCTGCTGCTGCTGACAGATCCTGTGTCAGGAAGTAGCAGAGAGGACTGTGCAGCTTCACTGTCACAAGGCACCTGGCCACAGTGATGAGTTGGTTCACCAGACTGACTAGGGCCTCCTTGCCGAAGCACTTATGCTCTCATGACCTGGACCCCACTGGGCTGATAGGTCAGGATGTGATGGCCTCTTCTCTGTTTGCCCTTGGCCTTATAATTCTTCAGCATCTCTACTTGAGTTTTCTGTGTTCCGTGTTTTTTTCTTTGAGGAAACATCCTTAACTTTTGAAGTGTCCATGTTTCTGAGGCAGTTGGGTGGTAGTGGGAATTGCACTAATTGGGATCCAGCAGGTTTAGGGTCTGGTCTTACAGCTAGACCTTGAAGAAGGCACTTCACCTGCTGGTCCCTAGTTTACTCACCTGTAAAACGAGGGGAGTTGAACTAACTGATCTCCGAAGTTTCAACCAACCCAATAGTTCCTTGGTTCTTTTTAAAAAATACAACTTTCTATAATCTTCAGTGTTCTTTAATCTTGTCTTTATTACACTAATACTAATCACTAGTATTTATTGAGTGTTTACTATGTGCCAGACAGTTTACATTTTTATTTCCACAGCATCTCTGTGATCTAGGTACTCTGAAAATACAAACAGCTTTATTTAGTATTCATACCATAAAATTCACCTGTTTTAAGCGTTGAGTTGAATGTTTTTTAGTTGGTTTTCAGAATTGCACAACCATCAATGATGTGGGTGCTTCTACCCCAATTTAAAAGATGAGGAGGGGCAGGAGGGATCATAAGTAACTTACCCATGATCACACAGCTGGTAAGTGCCAGAGCCAAGACTCCAACCCTGGTCTATGCCCTTAACCACTATGCTGTGCTGTGGATAGGCAGATTCATTACTGCCTTACTTGAAATCCTTTGCACATTTTGTATTATTAATTGCTAAATGGATTGGAATATAATGGATTTAAATTATGTCCTTAGAAATGTAACTAGTCACAGCCAAAACCCACCAAGTGGGCTTATTCTGTATCCCAATATATGTTCTCCCAGGTTCATCCTGTTGACTTGAGGAAAGGTCTGTACAAATAAACCGTTGATTTGTACGATTTCCACATAGTTTCCACATCCTTTCAGGCCCTTCTGCCTCTAGCAGTCAAACTCTTAGTAGTTCTTTGACTTACCTCTTTCATTAGGGTGATTACAAGTGCAGTGTGCTCTCATTCCTTTATTCATTGTTCAAGCTCAAATTGAATTATACCCAGACCATATCTTTCTCACTTGAAACCTGGATGTCACCTATCCCTTTATCTTCTAATTTCTGTGTTTTCATATTTTATTTCCACATTCACCCCTCGACATAGAATCCATCACCACTTCATGCTCCTGCCAAGAATCCCCTCAGACAAACACATCCATGAGTAATAGGGACTTTCCTGAAGATGCTGTTGTGTAAGAGCTGGAGGAGTGGGTTCACATACTATTAGACATTTTGTTCTCAGAAGTCCCTTGTTGGCCACACCACACCTGAAGATTTTTCTCTTTGTCCTCCCTCTGTCATGGCTCAGTCACCTCAGCCCCTTTTTTCTTGCCAGATATCCAATCCCTACTCCCTTGCCCCCAGATCAATTACCTTCTTAAACCCACTGCTCAGCAAAAGAAAAGGTCCTTTAGTTAACCTGTTCCTTGGAACATTAGAAGGCAATTAAGTGACCATCTTAGTGCTTTCCCAAGAGGAATTCTGGGAATGAAATTTCCACTGTGTTCACTGTACACACATCCTGTAACCTCATTTCTTGCCCTTATCCACCTCTCACCCAGTTAGAAATATTTCTGTCTCTTCCTTGTTTGCCTCTCTCCTCAATTTACTCGGGAGTCAAAATGTGACCATAATTTTGACTGGTCGTCAAAATTTTATGCAAATAGAATTCTATCAAGGAAGAGAAGAAAACACGAATTTAAAAAATTTTAGACCCATTTAAAAAACCAGGCCTCACAATCTCAAAGACCTGCCTAAATACCCAGAAAATACCCTTCAGAATTTTGTAGCTATGTCCATGTACATTTTTATCTTTTAATTAAACAGTTTTACTGGTATACTAACACTGGGTAAATAAAATATTTCTTTACAATTTTACTGATTTGATGGCTTTCTAAAGTTTATTATTTCAAAGTACGTTGTTGCATTATGGTCCTAACATGACTTTGTATGCCAGTCCCTATCCTGTAAGTTTCACCCCTCTGTTAACACCCAACTTGTTGTGCTCTGTAAGTTTCTGGTTTTGCATAAGCTGTTCACTCTGTCCTTGATTTGCCTTGCTTGGTGAGACCCTTTATCGTTCATAACTGGACAATGTGTGTGTGTGTGTGTGTGTTTCATGATTAACAATGTAAGCTATTCTGGATCATCAGGATGGTCTAATTTTTAAAAAAAGATTCTTATTGGGGAATTGGAACAGACAAGTTGCTGTCCTTTTGTTCTTCAGTCTAGTTGAGGATGTTGCTTCACTGGCCCAAGTTGGCACCATCATTGCGCTCTTCCCGGACGAGGCAGATCAGTCACCAGCTGTTGGATGGCCGCTCACGCTGGCTGCTGGCTACACATGATAGCCCATGGCAACCCACTGCCACAGGGGCTGCAGCCTACGCGTCGCTGGCGACTCACGGGTAGCCCAGGTCCAGGTTGAGCTGTTGTTCAGCATCTTGGCTGTAGAGGGCAGTGTCACTGGCCCTCATATGTGGGATCTGAACCGGGGCCCTCTGGCGTCCCAAGCCAGTTCTTAACCAACGCGCCACTCGGCCAGCCCTGGATGGTCTAATTTTTAAATCGCCTCATGACTGAGACTTCTGGGCTGGTGTTTATTATTGTCTAAGATTATTATTATTATTATTATTATTTTAAAGATTTTTATTGGTGAATTGGGGGGATGGGAACAGTGCTGGGGAATTGGGGGAAGGGGGACAGACAAGTTGCTGTCGTTTTGTTCTTCAGTCTAGTTGTGGAGGATGTTGCTTGACTGGCCCAAGTTGGCACCATCATTGCGCTCTTCCCGGGTGAGGCAGATCAGTCGCCGGCTTCTGGACGGCCGCTCGCTGCAGCTGCTGGCCGCTCACGCTGGCTGCTGGCTACACACGGTAGCCCATGGCAACCCACTGCCACAGGGACTGCAGCCTATGCCGTCGCCGGCGACTCACGGCAGCCCAGCTCCAGGTTGAGCTGTTGTTCAGCATCTTAGCTGTGGAGGGCAGTGTCACTGGCCCTCATATGTGGGATCCGAACCGGGGCCCTCTGGCGTCCCAAGCGAGTTCTTAACCATCGCGCCACTCGGCCGGCCCAGATTATTATTATTTTTAATGTGTTCTACATAACTTCTGGTTAAGGCAGGCTCTTAAGGTTGTTAGGTCAGGTATCTTCTTTGAAACTCAGGGAAGCTCTGCCTGGAAAAATGTGCATGTAGTTCCAGGGAATTCATGGACCCACTAAAACCCGTCCTTGGACCTGTGTGGTCCTTCACACGTTCCTAAAAGCAAACTTTTACCTTAAAAAGTTTACCAAGTAACTCACAGTAACCTCTCCCTCGTCTCATCCCTTAGCTTTTGGGATGAAGTTATGTCAAAACAACCTGAGACAGGAGCGAGAGCCTCAGTAAAATACAGCGGGAAGGAGCCAGGACGGTTCTGGTAATAGCCCGAGAAAGTGAGCCTTGGTGATGCGGCTCTGTGCACATTAATCCACCACTTGCTGAGCGCCTACGACGCGATAGGAGCTGTGCGGGGCGCGGGGGCTAAGCGCTGAGGCTGGTGGGGACTTGAGTAGCGTTCAGCGCTGCGGAGCAGAAGGCAGCTTTGGTGCTCCCATCAAGCGGGGGATCATCGGCGCTCGCCTCTCCCCGAGCTCTCAGAGCTGGAAAGGATGCACAGAAGTGAAGAAGGGAGGCAGCTTGAGAGCTTGAGGGGCGGATCAGGCGAAGCCCCCTCCACGAGCTCCAGAACCCTCTGACCGTCCCTCCCCCGTCCTTGTCTCCCAGCCCGGGGCTTTGCACCTGGACTCGGCCACGCCTCCCAATCGTCCTGCAGTACCGGCGGGGAGAACACTGATCTTTCACTTGTTTGCAACATGCTTTGCAGGCAGTGTTTTCACCTGGTGGACCCAACTTTGCTGGCACTGGTCAAATTTCCATGGAGTCTCAAAATGCGCCCAGCTGCTACCCTGCCTCCAGGACGAAGAGGTAGGAGCCCCACCCAGAAAGGCATCGACCCCTACCTACCCTATCGCTGGGGCTGCTTTAGGAAGGGAGGACCCTCCCCCCTCCACTTTGTGTGTGACCTCTTTGGGCCTGGGGGCGGTGGCTTGTGCGCACCAAGCTGATTAGTTGAGATTGAGCTTTTTACTGGTGACCAATGGGGTCAGGATGCTAAGGCCCGAGGTACCCCAGGTGGGTTGCCTGCAGAGAGCGAGTGCGGGGACAGTGGCGCGCCAGCTGACTGCTACGACTGAGTTTTGGGGGTGACAGCTCAGGACCCACCCCCTTGTCTCAGCCAGACGAGATTTGTAGTTTATGAGGATTTGCACGTCCCAGGGTGGGATTCAATAGCCGGTCTGCAGGTATTTATGGAGTCCTCCTCGCGTGGCCCAGGTTCTTTCTTAATAGGCTTATTAAGAAAATTTTCTAATAACTAATTTTTTAAATTTAATGTATTTGCAATGGGAAAGGATAGACTCAGGGTACGGAAGGCAGGGTTGGCTTTCGAAAGAAGGAAGAAGGAAGGCACTGCCCGCTGAGGCTGCGGAGGTGATGAGGTGTGGGGCCGGCAGAGTTGATCATTTGAGCCCTTTTGTTAAGAAGGAGTGTGGTTGTGCGTGGGAGTGATAGAGGTCTAGGACAGCTCCTGAGTAGATCCCCCAAAAGATCACGAACGGAGAACAAATGCTTCTATGCCCCTGATCTGCTGGTTATGTGGGGCATTCTCAAAACAGGGCTGTGGGTGGGGACAGTGAGGGACTTTAGTCACAGTAGGACTATAATCTGCATTGCACTCCATCGACTCCCACGTGGCGGGCGTCCCAGGAGCGCAGTGATTGTGGGAAAGACCTGGGAAGTCTTCATACCGTTGGGTGGAGCAGCGCTCAGGTGGAGCTCGGTGATTCTCTGCATCAGAGCGAACACACTGGTAAGCAACGCTACTGATGTAATTTTCCACTGTAAAACGAAATAACCGCCATGGAGTTCACAGAAAATTCACACTGGAGAGGCCCTTTGAATACCAGTGTGGAAAAGCCTCTGGTCAGAGCTCTCACCGACTTCAGCATCAGAGCATCCAGTGTGCAGCGATCTGGGATTTACTGACTGTTAGGACACTTTCATCCGGACCTGAAACTGCTCTGATCCTTCCTCCTCTTTCCTGGGGTCATCAGAGTGGAAATGCCCTTTGTGTCAGCTAATTTTGTCCTGCTCCTTGAGGACAGGGCTAAGCTGAAGAAGAGTGTACCACACTCAGCCCACGGGTGCCACACAAAAATTAATAAATGAACGAATTCATTTCGTTCAGGCAGTAAATGATGAATTGGATACTTCAAATTTAATTAACTGAAGGTAGTAGCATCATGATGCCTTTGCTGTCCTTTGTTTTTCTCTGCAAATCCCTTATCCCCCCAAATGATGGGGATGGCATTAAGGCCCTTTATCACCCATCTGATCTAAATAGTATCTCTTTAGGTGACATGGGGACAGGAAAAATGTTAAACAGGTGAACCAAAACCTTTCTTTAGCCGAGGGAATTGATCTACTACACCTTTATTCAAGTATAAGATAGCCATAGGCTGCTTTAAACACATCCCTTTTTCCTGCAATTTTCAACACTGGGGGAAAAAAAAGAACAAACCAATATTTCACCTGTGTCATCCCCAAAATCTTTCATAATAAGCTTTGTTTACTTCTTGATCTTATTTGTTTTTTTTTTACACATTATTTCCATCTTCTTGGATGTATTTGTTTTTCATGTGAGCCATAGTAAATGTATTTGCTTGGATTCAGTATTCTTATTTTTTGTAGCTTCATCATCACAGGTTTATGTTTTCCTCAAACGTATTGATATGCTCAGGATAACTGTGAAAATTGGTTTTGAAATGGCTTGTTATTAAAAGGATTAGAATCTACTGCAAGACAAAGCATGTGCTGGAAGCCTTGCTGGTGAGAGCAGAATCAGTCCTGTTAGAGCTGGATGTTCTGTCCTTCGAGTACAGGCACAGCCTCTAAGTCCTTTTCGCTTTCCCTCTTTTTCTTACAATGTTTGCTCAGGTACCTCCGGAAAATGTGTCCCTTCTTTACCTCCATGTCACATGGACCCATTTGTGAGCTAGAAATAAGCTCTAATTGGACAAAGAAACAGCAGTAATACAGGAAATGCAAGTGAATCAGGAAAAAATAGCCATTTGTTTCGAAGACACGCTGGACCAAATAAGCAGTGTCACCAGACTTGAACACCCTAAACATGCCCAGCAATCCCTTCAGAATTCAACATGGATTGTATCATCTTCGTTATTCCCTGAATTTCAATTTTCTCATCCATAACGTGGGGGAAATACCCAGCCTTCAAGGTTGTGGGAGTGTAATACATAATAATACATTTAAAAGCCCACTTCCTGATGTATAGCAGGAGCCCAATAAATGCAGTTTCTTTTTCTCCTTTACCCACTTTCCTTCTTCTCTGATTTACCCCCAATTAAGGATGTATCCTCAAAGAATTCAAAGAGAATAAAAATTGCATCTTAACCACTACATTGTACTAATTTTTTATTTTCTGCTGTGTTTTATCTTAAATGCACATTATTTCATCCATGCTAAGGATGCCAAGTAGACCTTGTGAGTTAACATGGAAATCTAATTACCATTATAACTGTTTCTTTGTCAAGTCTAACCAGTGGATTTACAGTGAAATTGCCAAATGTAATGTGTTTGAAGGTCTATCATAGGTTTCCTCCTTCAGAAATGGGAATTCCATTGTGAAGTGCTTATAGTTTCTAGGTTTCCTGAAGAGTCAATACTTTATTCTACTTCCTATAAATTTTAGTTCTTGTTTCTCAAAGGAAATTCCACATCTCAGCCAATTATGCCGCCTATGTCTTTATTGCTGGCTTTAAGCAATTTGATTTTGATAGTGCTTTGGTATATTTTTCTTCATGTTTCTGCTTGGTGTTTGTTGAGCTTTTTGGATCTGTGGATTTACAGTTTTCATCAAATTTGGAAAATTGTCAGCCATTATTTCTTCACATGTTTTTCTGCTTTCCTCTTTTTTTTTTCTCCTGGGACTCTAACTACACATATATTTGGTTGATTAAAGTTGTCCCACAGCTCGCTGGTTCTACGTTAATCCTTTTTTAAAAAGTACTTTTTATCTCTGTATCATCATGGAGTTTCTATCCAGTAAATTTTTCGTGTCAGATGTTTGTTTTATTTTTCATCTCTAGAATTTAATTTGGGTCTTTTAAGTAACTTCTGTGTCTCTGTCTACATGCTCCTGTTTTCCTTTTCGTCTTGAACATATGGTGTATAATAGCTGGGGTTTTGTGTGTGTGTGTGTGTGTGTGATGAGAATCATGTGTTTATTTTAGAACTTAAGGACCCATGCACAGGATCAAGAGGAAAACTGGATAGGGTATCCTCCCTAGCTTTCAATGAACCAGACAGCCAACAAACAAATAGGAAAAAGAAGAATTCACCACTGAGTCACACATTTCCTTCTGAATGTTAAGTCAAATAATATGTAATTTCTTCTAACTGAAGTTGTATTTGTCCCTTCATAATCAAGTCTTTAACTTCTATGTACATCACAGGAGAACAAGTTTATTCATGAGGCTATAGGGGAACTCACTAACAGAAGATCTGCACAAAGCCCAAAGCAGAAGTACCAAAGAGATGTAGAAACTACATGTGAAGAACTGGAATATGGTTGGGATCCGATGAGAACAGACCCAAAATTTTTACCCATCTAGTAGCTGTATTTAGTGTCCTTGTCTAATAATTATCATCTGTGCCATTTCTGGATCTGTTTCTATTGATTTTCTCCTCATTATAGGTCATATTTTCATTTCTTTGAATGCTTTTAATTTTCTTTACTGCAAAGAAAATTTTATTTTGTATATCACTAGCCATGAATTTTTGTCATTAATTACATAAATGCTGCCTACTGCCATTATCCAAGTGGCATGACCATTTCATGTCCACAATTCATTTCTGTATTTACAGAATTTTCATGATTTACATAAGTACATATATCAGTGAAGGTTTAATATTGAGATGCAATATAGCATCCACAATATCTAATGTTTTGCAGATAGCAATGTAGGTGTATTTTTAATTCTTTTCATTTGAATCACCTTATGTAAAAAATTCAAAAATTTAGATGTTCTAAGTCTCTAAAGAAGATTTTTCCAGTGCACTCATAGAAATGGTTACAGACAGTAAGTTTTTCAGAAACAACTTCCATGTCCACATCCTGTTGTAATTTCCGTACCATTTTGTTTTCCAGCTGCTATCCTTTGCATGCAAACGGGGCCCAGATGAGATGAATGTTTTGCTTGACTTCTTTGATGTCCTGAAATTTCTGTAGTTCTTTATTTTTCTTCAACCTGTTCATTATAAATTTAGCTTGGTGTTTCTGTTTGATCTCTTTGACTCTCTTCATTGCATTGGTAATTTTGTAAATGAAATTGTAACTGCAATTATTCCTTGACCTTGGTTTCATTATATTGAAAGACTCTGCTCATGATCCCAGAAGAGGTGTCTGGGAATTGACTAAAGTTCACATAATCTTCTTCTCTTTCTTTAGGTATAAAAGTGCCCTGTTCACAAGTGCACCTTGCATTTCCTTTTGATAGGAGAGCTTTCCCTAGATATGTAATGGAATAACAAGAAGCTCTGTACTTGTTAGGTAAAGGACAATCTTTTGTCTGTATTTCTTACCAACCCCAGTGGTTTTTGCCCTCAAAGTACCTGGGTACCCACTTCCTCCAGACCAGGCCACCAGGATCCAGTACAGTGTATTTGCTGTGAAATCTCTGTTAAGGGTGTTTATAAGGTATCCCTAGGTTGCCCATCCTCTTCCAGACACCAGGTACAGTCTGCTTCTTTGCCTCTTGCTATGGACAAAAGACCACACTCTTGTAAACAAGTACAAGTTTTTTTACTTATTCAGCTGCACAGCTGGGGGAGCTTCCTGCTATCAGTGAATTGCAAAATGCACATGTGAGCAAGGCACTGTACATCCAGAAACAGGAACAGATTATAATTACTCAAGTATGGTACCTTTAACTTCCAGCACCCCCTCAAGGATAAGGAACTAGTTCTTGTAACAATCAAACTAAGCACACAGAACTTCAGTTGTGGAAATAGCTTTTTTCATACTAACAAATTCAAAAGAGATGGTTTCAAGTCAAAATTTTGCTTACAAAATATTTTTCTGATTTTAGCTCTTCTCAGAGTGCCAAATACAGGGCACTGCAGCCAGAATGATGGCTATTTTTGGAATGATCACCACCAAGATCAGACCTCTTGTCTGTCATCCTCTGCTTCCCAGATCCTGTTCTGCTCTTTCTGGAACCAGGACTCTCCTTTCCTGGTCAGTCAGCAGCACCGGGTCGCAGAAGTGAGGAGATGTTCTGTGGGGTGCAGCACTGCTCATTGTCTCCCCAAATTTGTTTGTTCCTTCTCCATAATGGCATTTTGTTTTGTTTTTTAAGATTTTTATTGGGGAATTGGGGGGATGGGAACAGCGCTGGGGAATTGGGGGAAGGGGAGCAGACAAGTTGCTGTCCTTTTGTTCTTCAGTCTAGTTGTGGAGGACGTTGCTTCACTGGCCCAAGTTGGCACCACCATTGCGCTCTTCCCGGGTGAGGCACATCAGTCGCCAGCTTCTGGACGGCCTCTCACAGCGGCTGCTGGCCGCTCATGCTGGCTGCTGGCGACACATGGTAGCCCATGGCAACCCACTGCAGCAGGGACTGCAGCCTACACTGTCGCCGGCAGACTCACGGCAGCCCAGCTCCAGGTTGAGCTGTTGTTCAGCATCTTAGCTGTGGAGGGCAGTGTCACTGGCCCTCATATGTGGGATCCGAACCGGGGCCCTCTGGCGTTCCAAGCCAGCTCTTAACCAACGCGCCACTCGGCTGGCCCTTGGCAAACTTTTTATGTAAGGAGCCAGATAGTAAATATTTTAGGCTTTGCGGGCCACAAAGTCTCTGTCACTTTCTTTTACAACACTTAAAAAATGTAAAAACCATTCTTAGCTTGTGGGCTATAAAACCAACCAACCAACCAACCAACCAAAACAGGCCATGAGCTGGATTTGGATTTGGCCCATGAGCTGTAGTTTGCTGACCACCTGCTTACCTCTGGACATTCATGAGAGACAAATAAGACTTGTAGCTTAGAGTCAGGGAAGACTTCTCTGAAGAGGTGACATTTAAGTAGAGAGCTAGATAAAGTAAGGGGTGACTTATATAACTACTGGGGAGGAGAGTGTGGGGACAGGGAGGTGGAAAACAAGGACAGAGGTCCTGGGGTGGAAATGAGCTTGTAACATGGGCCAGTTGTCAATTTATTGCCTCCTAACTCCAAATCTAACATTCTCTGCCTCACTTTATGATACTGGAGCTGGACCTGTAAACATTTCCCCATGGGCAGCTGGCACAATGTTGGGCTATGGCAGTAAAGGGCACTGGAGGAATAAAGCAAGGAGGAGGGGGCTTCTCTTCTGGTTCTGGTAGTTTTTCCTCCGTATTCTTACGATGCAGCACCCATCTTCTGGTGAGTTCGCTGGCATCTCAACCTGTGGTTTCCTGCTTTGGCTTGCACCACCTTGGTGAACTTTACCATCCAGGGGGCCATAGCCAGTGTTGTGCTGGTTAATATTTAATAACTAGTTCAAAGAAAAAAAGCCCTGATTTGTAGTGTTCCTTGACTTCCAAGGTATGAATATTCCCACCATGACCAATTTTAATGCAGGTTTGGGAAGAGATCTGAAAAATTGGCCATTGCAAGCCTGTGCACACCAGCTGTAGTACACCATGGGATAACCATACCCTGTCCAGTGAGGTCTGAATTTCAGTCTTGTTCAGGGAGCGGGGGCTCGTCTAAGTTTGCTTCTTCCTTGGGTACCTCCCTCAGCCCTAGAGGCATAGCTGTTCCCCATGCAGCTATTCCTATATTCTTTAAGATCTCTTTAAGCCCTTTAGCAGATAATCCTCTTTTACTAGTTAATATTTCTTTCTATTAAGCGTTCCCTGTTAAGATAACTAGTGTGGTTTCTGTCTCATACTTGGACACTTGTAGATGTGACCCTGTCAGAAGGGGCAGACCAGGTAGGTCTGAGAAAGGGCCATGACCAAAGATCCATTCACAGTAATACTAATATAAGAATGACCACTGCCTAACCAGCTGCCAGGGCCAGAACTCTAATGAAATAGGCATTTTGGCTATTACAGCCAGAGGTGTCCTAGTCAACACAGCCTTTTTAATCAGAGGACATGAAGTCGTGATCTGTGGGTGGGAGTAGGTAAACAGTTTTCCTAAATCAAGTAAGACACAGGAGAAACCTTAAGGTGCTTATGCCTTTCATGGAATCTAGGCGTAAAGTTGATTAGACGAAAGCACAGTTCTGTCTGGCCACTTCCTCCCCTTCAGTACACTGGGAGGGCTCTTTTCTAGCATGAACTTTCTGATGTCTAATAAGCTCTGAACTCCATCTGGGGGCTTACCCACATTCTCTGCATATAATAGGTTTCTCTCCACTGTGAATTCTCAGATGCTGACTTAGACATGAGCTTGGACGGAAGGCCTTCCCACACTCATTACACTTGTAAGCCTTCTCCCCTGAAGGAATCCTCCGATGTTGCACAAGATGCACACGCCACCTGAAGGACTTCCCCATTCATGACATCATAGGGTTTCTCTCCTGTGTGAATTCTCTGATGCTAATAAGGTTTGAGCTCTGGTTGGAGATTTTCCCACAGTCACTACACATATAGGGCTTCTTTCCAGAGTGCAGTCCCTGGTGGATTAAAAGGTGTGAGCCATGGCTGAAGGCTTTACATTTACTACATTCATGGTCTTTCTTTCCTGTGGGAATTTTCTTGTGGGTGACAACCACCTGCCTGAAACTTTTCTCCTGGGCTGGTGACTGCCTCGGTCTCTTCATTTTGGGATTTCTCTGCTGCTGCTCCAAAGTGCCCTCAACTCAGAGGTAGCTTCAAATGTAGAGGGGCTGGTGGTGAGTTCTTCTGAGAACACATGTGACTCCAATTCAGTAATGGGAGGTTGTGACAATGATCCTTTGTCCTTGGGCTCTGGGTTATCTTCTGCAACAACTGATGGAAAATGTAAATATACCAGTTCTGGATGTATGGAGAAATGACACTTGAATTAGGATTTCTGGCATGAAAAGTTTAAAAAACATTCAACACACACACTACAAAGTCTGGAAGGATAGTTACATATGACCGACCAGTAGTGAGACTGTATAGGGGAGAGGCTTTCTTTTTTTTTTCTTTCCCCCCACTTATCTGTTTTTTCTATTTTTTCCTTAATAAAACACTACAAAAATGTTGTTTAAAAATAAAGTAAGTTTCAGGGCAGGATCTTCCCTTTAGGACTTACTCTTCAAATAGATGAGAAAAAAGTAATATTTTCAAGAAATTGGGGAGTGGTCACCTGATGTTGTGAGGGAAGGAAAAAACAAGAAAGAAGAATCAGAGGGTTAGGGAAAAGGAATGTGTGTCAAGGCACAGAGACTCTGCCCTTCCTGACCCTAACTGTTACCTCTGCCCATTCATTTCCTGCCCCACAAATCTACAGCTACTGAAAAGGATCCCCAAACAGCTGTCTCCTTGACTGAGTTCCATGTCTCCTACCTGCTTGGTGCTCTCTGCCTTTCCCTGTGACCTGCTCCTTAGAAAGGAAGAGAAGAAAAAAATAAAAAGGAAGAGAGGAATGCTTTGCCCTTTGTTTTTAAATGTCTGTAACACTTTTTGTGTTTTAATCACCTATAATGTTACTCTCTATGGTTTAAAGAAGACAGAAGCAATTGCTTGCTTTGATAACTCACCATTTTACTTAAAAAATACATTTTTTTCCAGGTGAAATGCTTCTAGTTAAAGAAATCTGCAACATGCTTGCTGAAAAAAAAAATCAAACAATCGCTAGCTGGATTTTTAAAAGTAAAGTACCAGTTTGATAAGTGAATACTTACCAAATAGAAGTGAAGGAGTCCAGAAAAAGTCTGAAGAAAGGCAAGGAAGTGCTGGGAGGTAAAGGCATACTTTTGGGATAGATTCTAAGATTAATCTAAGATTAAGCTCCATTTCTAGTTTTTTCCATTTTGTTGCTAACAAGAATTTGATTTTTCAGATGCTTTCGTTTGGTGGTGGGGTTGTGGTATAAAACCACATATTAAATGGAATTTTCTTGATTCTATTAGCAACATATTCGTGTTCTGTTCCCGATAGTTTATGATGTGACAGAGGTCAGCAAGGACAGTTTAGAGTCCTGAGGCTCTAAGTCTAGAGTGTGCTCCAGGGAGAGGAAAGGATGTTTATGGGGGTGTATGCAGGCTGGGAAGGAAGTTTTTGCTGTAAATTTCAAGGGTAGAAAGTACGTACTGACATAAGAAAGTTTCAGATAGGGCTTTTAGATGGGCGTAAGTGGTAGATAAAGGTGATGACAGGCTATATCTCACATAGGAGTTGCTTTATAGCTTAAAAAGTGTGTTTTGGGAGGCATGGGGAAGTTAAAAGAAACGGGACCTCAGGCTGGCCTCTAGCTCAGGGTGAGGTACTGTGAGCTAGAAGGAGTCAAGAGCAGTGGTGATGATGAGGCTGGAAGTGAATGAAATAAGTGAATGAAATATTTTCTGGTCCTGCTTTAGGGCTTTCTAAAGCTAGGAGAAGCTGGTGAGGCTCTATAACCAGATATGATATGTTTTATTTACTCTTCAGTGTTACCTTATGAAGTAGGATATTATTACTATTCCTAGTTGTACAGGTGATGAAATAGGCTGAGTCGCTCACATAAGAGGTAAGAATAGTAAGGCCAGATAGGTCGGTGGTTGGGAATATTTTTCTCCTTGAGGGTAACTATTTCCTGGGCTGTGGCCCCCTGATCAGGTCTGGGAAGAGGCAACTGGAAAACAGACCATGCAGGACAAACAGGCCACGCACAGGCTGGCATTTCTCTGCTGTTTCTGTCAGTGTGGATGGTCCGTTATATACAGTACAACTGAGCAGAGACGTGAGGCCCACCAACCGTCTGGTCAGATAACCCGCTCGTGCTGTTCCCGGCGCTAAGTTGCTGTGCACAGCGTGGTGGTTGCCGCCAGCTCCTTATGTCTGAACGAGGCACCGGGTTCGATTTGTGGCCTTCATAACTGTGAGAGAATAAATTTCTGTTGTTTTAAGCCACCCCGTTTGTGGTAATTTGTTACAGCAGCCCTAGGAAACGAATACACTTACTGTGAAGTCCAGTTTTTCAGAAAACAAGTGTCAGTCTTTCCATTCCTCTCATTCCCACTGACACCATGCTTGTGGCTTTCTGGATTTTACTAGGCTATCATCAGGGAGTGGAGTGGAGTGGTTAAGAACATGGGCTCTGGAGATAGACTGCCTGGGTCTTCCTCTACCATTTACTTGCCGTTTGACCTTTAGTTACTAGACCTTTCTGTGCCTCAGCTTCCTCATTTATAAAATATGAACAGTAATACGAGGTTGGACAATTAAGTTTGCGAACTCATCCTAGAAAAAGTGCTAATACCTCACTGCTGAATATCACTATGGTCACCTTCGAAGTACTCCCCTTGGGAAGCTATGCACCGATACCAGTGCCTAGTCTACCCTTCGAAGCAATTTTGGAACTCTCTTTCTGGAATGGCTATCATAGCTGTTGTATTACCTTTGATGTCCTGAATGTTATAAAAATGTCTTCCTTTCAATATTTCTTTTATCTTCAGGTAAAGAAAGAAGTCATTAGGGACCAGATCAGGTGAGTAGGGAGGGTGTTCCAATACAGTAATTTGTTTACTGGCTAAAAACTCCCTCACAGACAGTGCCATGTGAGCTGGTGCATTGTTGTGATGTAAGAGCCATGAATTGTTGGCGAAAAGGTCAGGTCGTCTGACTTTTTCGTGCAGCCTTTTCAGCACTTCCAAATAGTAAACTTTGTTAATTGTTTGTCCAGTTGGTACAAATTCATAATGAATAATCCCTCTGATATAAAAAACGTTTAGCAACATTGTTGCAACAAGTTCATGAACTTAACTGTCAGAACCTGTAGTACTTGAGAGGCTTTGTGAGTATTAAATGAGTTAATACACATAAAGTGCTTAGGATAACACCTAGCACAGAGTTAGCACTTAATAAATAATGGATATTTAAAATTGTGTTACTTTGTTAATAATCTTGACACCAACATTTTCCTGCTCCAATTCAGACTGGACAGTGCTGTTAGTTATATATCACTTTCATCATGTTAAAAACCTTTAATTCTCCCTATTTATTACTGTATCAAATCTAAGTTTCTTTTATTTGACTTTGGAAAACATCTATAAACTGGTCCCAACATAGTCTTCTGATATTACTTTACTCCGTAAACGTGGGGGTGTTGTTCACTCTTGTATCCCAGCAACTAGAACAGTGTTTGGCATATTGTATTCACTCAATCATTACCTATTCAATGACTGAATATAGCCCAATGCAAAATTGCTGCTCTAAATAACCCATGTTGGACCTAGCCAAGTCCACCTCTGCCTTCCAAGTCCAAATTAGTTTCTACCTCCTTTAGAAGGTCTTTCTAAGAAAGTGGTTAAGAGCAAGCAGACTCTGTAACCAGACTTAGTTCAAATTCTGGCACTGTCATTCTCTGAGACCTCACACGCATTTCTCAACTTCTGCATATCTCACCTATTTCATAGGGGTTTCCACCTTTGTAGGGTTTTAACCTGAGCTAGGTAAGTCTTGGGGGAAAAAAGTACATAAAATATGAGACACAAAATTTAACTGTTAGGAATACACTGTCATATTTTTTCCCAAGCTCAAGATCATTTGACCCTTTTTTTTCCTCTCTTTATTTTCAATAGTTCCTAAAGCATCTCTTAATCTATTTTTCCTTTCAACTCTATAAATATAATTTTATATTTATAATTATAAATAAGGAGTGTAGCATTCTCTATTTGGGTTATTTCAACAGTCTCAAAACTGGTCTGTTCCCTGCCTTCCTCAAATTTTACCTTTTTACCTGTTTCACCATGGAAGTACTTTTTCTGTATTAACACATATTGTATCAGTCTTCACTCAAAGTGAAAACACTCTGGATTCTGGATCTTAGATCTAGGCCTCTAAATGTAGTGAATGGCAGCTCTTTTATCACAGAAGATTTTAGATTTGTACTAGGATCAGCATCATATCAGGATGTCTCATCTTATTTGTTAGAGGCATTTTGGGGGATGGGGAGAAACAAGGGCTTGGGCCTGAACCTCTGACTTTTTAGAGAATTATTTCAAAACTGGGAACAGAGAGACAGTTCTGTATCCCAGAGGATTTATAAATCTGTGATGCCTGCTCAAAATTCAGAAAGCTACCACCCTGACACTAATCTAACCAAGAAGAAACTTTATTGTGCGAAGGTCAAAAGGTCCCCATAATACATTCCAGCAAGCCCCATCCCCTTCACTCCCCCTACACAGGGTCCTCCAAGAGATGGCCTTGTGCATGGACTGGTAGTGTGCAGTGCCCGGCTGCAAGCCACACCGTCTCCGGGCATGGAGCTAACAGTTCTGAGGCGCCTGGCTAGGCAAGGCCATCCTGCCGTCCCGAGGGCCTCAAAACTGCAGGTGGGGTGGGTGAGTGGGAACCCAAGGAATGAGACCAGGCTGCCCTGGGGCCCTAGCAGCTGGGCCTGATGGGCAGAGCCCGAAGACCAGAGCCCGGGAGTCCAGCTCTGCACACATGGCCACTGTGGGATCTCATTGCCAGGCCGCCCTCAGTGCACCTGTCACTCAGTGCTCTCCCTCACCCTCCACCCCCACAACCCATCCTGGCAGTTGAGGCCCACCGGGAAAGTTTGCAGCTGGGACCACCTGCCCCGCCCGCAGCCTCCCTGGTTAATGTGCAGAATCACTAGTCGCATCCCCCCCTTTTCCTAGACCAGCCTAGAAAGGGGCCACACTTCGCCCACAAGCTGTCCTCTGCCCTAGTGTCCGAGGTTTGGCTCCTTCTATCTGGAGTCACTGAGGCTGCAAAGACGAGAAAGACCCAGTCCCAACAGGAAGGTCTGTCTAGTAGGGCGACAAGTAAATCATAATGACTGTGCTATGACGCTGTGACCTGTGGGAGCACAGAAGCACTTAACCCCACTGGGTGTACATCAGGGAAGATGACCAGAGTAAACGAGGCGAATGTCAAGGACTTGGGAGACAATACTGTAGTGCCCAAGGAAATGGGCTTTGGAGTCAGGCAGGCCTAGATTTGAATTCCAGTTTCTTCACTTAGTAGTTTTAGGTCTCTGGGCAAATTACTTTGCCTTCTTGACCTTAGTTTCCTGTTTGGAAAATGGGGATAACAGTAGTACCCACCAATGAAGACTGAGGCAAAGAATGCAAGAGAAAACTGAAGTTAAGTCCTTATCACAGTACCCAACACAGGAAATACAAAAAATATAATGGAGCCAGGTAAGGAGGGAGGGAGCTTTCCCGGAAGAGGGAACAAATTGTGGAAAGGCCACAGGGTAAGAGGGCAGTGCCTAGGTCCTTGGGGAACTGCAGATAGTTCAGCGGTAAATGTTGGATTTAGAAGGGTAAGCACTTTGCAGAAAGCCCTCCCCAACTAGGTCGAACTTCCCACTGCGGTATCATGCCTCTCCTTTGTGGCACTTACCATGGTTGTAGTTTTACTTGATTCTAATTAACCTCATCTCCGCTCCATTAGGGCAGAGACTGTTGTCTATTTCTGCTTACATCCTTTTGTAATCCCCAGTGCGGGACACATATTAGAATCTCAATAAATATTTAATGAATGAGTGGATGAATGGGGCCAGATCAGAACACGTGTGTCACTTTGAGGACTGGGCTTTAGGCTCAAGTTAGTAGGAAACCACTGTAGAAGTTTAGAGATTGGTGGCACTATCAGATTTGTTTTAAAGAAAGAGCGGTCGGGCTGCTCTGAGAAATGAAAGCAGAAGACATATTTAGGAGGCTGTGGTAATAATACAAGCAAGAGATGATAATGGTGGCCTCACTCTAAGTTAGGGCACCAAAAATTAAGAAAAGTGGGCTAAGTTGGCAGATTATTGGGTAACATTCCCTTCCTCTACTAGACTCACATGCTCTCCCCCAAGGTGGTAGTAATAGTCTTGTTTCCTATGAAATATTTATATGGAGAAACTTCTCTTAATCCACATTCCAATCACCCCTGTTTTGTAAAGAGATTTGATCATTTCTCAGCTCTGGTCCTCCTGGAGTTTAGATATTCAGCTGCTTAGATTCTCATAAAAACAAACTTTTGTCCTTTAAGCTCTTTTCTCAAAGTTCCAAAGTAGGCTGCTCCCTACCAGGTAATCTTACTCTGTGGAATTCAGGTTTACAAATTGGACACTGCCACATTCACTTCTACCCATTAAAGTTTTGAATGGACCCTCATTGTCATAAATTGTCTGTTAACTACAGATTAACTCTTTTGTCTTCCCTCAGCCCCCATTGGATTGTAAACTCCTGGAAGAACAAATGTCTTTCTGTAGCCCTATCAGATTATGGTCCCTGGCACATAGTAGACACTCAATAAGTATTTTTTACATAACTTTTATTTCAACATTCACAGTTGAAAGCATTTCCATACTGGAACAAAAATTTCCCCCTGCTTTCAAAAGTCCGATACACTCAATATGATTCAAGCTCTATCAAGGATGAAATGAAAAGATTAGTTTTCAATCTGAGGTCTTCAAGCAATAGTTAATATTCTAAAAAGCCCAAAGGAAATTATGTATTTGACCACAAAAGGGAAAAAGAGACTAATGAAAATGTTAAGTAGTTTGATTTGGAGTGGCATTTTAATACCTAAGTTATGTCATGCCAATCCTCAGAAGCATGATTGGTGGTTATATGCCATGCATTTGAATAACAACAAAAAAAGAACTAATCCATCTTTAATAAATGCAGCTTGGTAAGCAAAAGCTTTTAAAACACAGAGCACAGGAGAGTAAAAGAGAGGGCCTCGTTTAGATAGTTGGAAACTACTGCATTAAATTACCTTCAAGTCCTTTTCAATATCTTGTTTACCCTTACAAGCATCACTCTCTGTACAGCACTGCAAATGCAGGGAAAGGACATGGAGATGGGCTTACTAGAATAAACTCCCAATTCCTTTCTTTTACAAAAATAGAATGCTAAAATGTTCCTGTTAGCTATAATGGTTTTGATTAGTTAGGATCTGGGATAACTAAAAAAATTTAAGTATCTTTAATTGTTAATCCAAGTGTATCACTGATGATAGCTATTTTGAATTCCTTTTGCTTCCCGAATATATTTATTTAAAGATCTTCTCATGTAAAAATATTCATTTATGTGAGATTATACTAAAGAGCTTAAACCTCTGAAGCAGGTGATGGGGGTAGGCAGACATCTGTACCACATCATCCACAAGCAGCCAGCTTTCAGGGGTAGTGTGGGTGGGCTTTTTCACTTCAAGACATCCCACCACTGTTCAGGATGTCCCTCTGGGGAAGCCACAGCCCCCAGTGCTTTGAACTTTAACAGGTCATATTTTTTATACCAGCCACAAGACAGCACTGTATCTCATACATCTTCGATTCATCTTGTAAATACTTCATATTCTGTTTTAGAATGATGACAGCTCCAGATGCCTTCCTATGTGTCAACAGTAAATTTCAGTTTTCTCATTTAAACCTCACAATTACCCCCATGAGGTAGATTATGTTATCACTATTTCATTAATGAGGAAAATAAAGACCAGAGGGGTTATATAATTTGCTCCAGTCATGAAGCCAATACGTCATACTGGGATTCAAACTCATGTCTGTACTCCCTCCGATACAGCAGACTGCGTCTCTAAACAATCAAACTAAAGGTTTATATCAGACTCTGGGTTCCTCCGGGGATGCACTGCCACTGCTCATATCACATTGAAACACTTGCTTAAATGGCCCCAGGTGACTGGTGTTCTAAATTTTCATGAGCAGGGTTTCTCAACCATGACATACTCTTGGGGCCAGATAATTCTTTGTTGTATATGTGTGTAGGGGTAGAGGGGGCTGTGTATTGTTAAGATATTTAGTAACATTGCTGGTCTTCAGATGCCAATATTTTTTTCTGAGTTGTGACAACCAAAATATCTCTGGACATTGTCAAATGTCCCTTGGGGGCAAAAATCACACCAGTTGAGAACCACCGATCCCCTCCATCTCACGCGCTGCTCCCACTAAGGAAAGATATGAAGTTGAAATTCTCCTTGCCTTACATTGTCCCTTTCATTAACTTTCTTATCTGATGACTTATGTAAATTCATATGCAATCTGCCAGTAGTTCAGAGTACAAGAAATATTTGACAATTGAGTTTGATTGCACAGTTAGACAGGGCCTAATTACCAAATTAGTTATCAGCTTAAATGATGATGACTGACCTTTCCCCAGAGTTCTATTTAGACTCTCCAATTCTCAAATAAGCTGTGCCGAATTACAAAGCCCTGGTTCAAGACAAAACTACTCTCCCTATAATCACTTGACCTTTTACAGTAGATGCTTTTTTTCTAATTCCCACCAACTCATGTCACCTAAATGCTCGGCTCTGGCACTCTGTCTAATTCTATTCCCAAACCTACTGTTCTCCTGTCCCTTTCTCATTCATTTCCTGATACTACTAGTAGTCACTACTCTTTCTCAGGGGAAACTCCTCACTTGGCTCTTGTGTCCTGGCCTTCAGTGACCTATTGTCAAGTCATTTCTATTATTTTTTGTTTTCTCTCAATTGATAGATCATTCCAATTAGCACTTTTCACATATGCATAAGCCTATTTTTATAAGGAAGAATAAAAGAGAATATGTGTAAAACACACTTCTAAGGGGAAGAATTCATCCCAGAGAAAGATTTAATCACCCTAAAGGACTTAACACAGATTTATACTTGTCACTGGACTAGGTAGTCAAGACTGAATGGGCTCCTTCCATGAAAAACTTAGTATTTGAGGTTGTTGCCTGAGTGATTTCTAATGATTTTAGTAACAATAGAAGTCACCTAAAACATTCTCAAGTAATTAATTATATCCTAGGGACTGTACTCCAGTGTCAATTCTGAGGCAGAAAAGGCTATTATGTCCAAGAGCTTTTCTACCTGATTACACTTACATGTTTTCCACCCAGCAGGACTCTTCTAATGTTTTCCTACCTTCAAATGGTTTTCAATAAAAAAATCCTCTATAGTGCAATAAGAGGTGGTCTCCACCAGGCTCTTCCTACATCTATTAGGTTTCTGGTACCTATTAGAATGAGTCCTGTTTGAAGACTGTCTCACATCCCCCAAGTTCCTTTCCAGTGTGAAGTTTCTGATGTTTAAGAACAGCTGTGCGCCCACTGAAGGCCTTCCCACAGTTGCTACATTCAAAGGGTTTCTCTCCAGTGTGAATTCTCTGGTGACTAATAAGGTGTGAGTTCTGACTGAAGGCCTTCCCACATTCAAGGCATTCATAGGGTTTCTCTCCAGTATGAACACGATGGTGTTTAATAAGATCTGAGCTGCCCCTAAAAGATTTCCCACATTTATTGCATACATAAGGTTTTTCTCCACTATGAATTCTATGATGTCTCATAAGGTCTGAGCTCTGATTGAAAGTTTTCCCACATTCTTTACATTCATATGGTTTCTCTCCTTTGTGAATTACATGATGCCTGATGAGGTCTGAGCTGCCTTGGAAAGTTCTGCCACAATGATTACATGGATAAGCTTTCTCTTCTTGGTGAATTCCCTGCTCTTTTCTAAACAACTCATCCTTGCTGAATGTTTTCTGACATTCTTCAAGTTTCTCTCCAGTGTGAAGTCTCTGATGTTTGAGAAAAGCTGTGCGCCAGATGAAGGGTTTTCCACACTCCTTACATTCATAGGGCTTCTCACCACTGTGGATTCTCTGATGCTGAATAAGGAGTGAGCGCTGCCGGAAGGCTTTCCCACATTCATTGCACTGATAGGGTTTCTCTCCAGTATGAATTTTCTGATGTGTAACAAGGTGTGATCTCTGGCTAAAGGCTTTACCACATTCACTACATTCATAGGGTTTCTCTCCAGTATGAATTATCCAATGCCGAATTAGATCTGAACTTCCCCGGAAAGTTTTTCCACACTCAGTACATTGATAAGGTTTTTCTTCCCTATGAATTCTCTGTTGTTTGATAAGATCCAAGTCAGAAGTGCAGGCTTTTTCACATTCAAGTTCCTTTCCAGTATGCAGTCTCTGGTGTTTAAGAAAAGCTGTGCGCCCACTGAAGGATTTCCCACATTCACAGCATTCATGGGGTTTCTCTCCACTGTGGAGTCTCTGGTGTTCGGTAAGGCGTGAACGCTGCCGGAAGGCCTTTTCACATTCATTACATTTGAAGGGTTTCTCTCCACTATGAATTCGCTGATGTGTGACAAGGTGTGAACTTTGACTGAACGTTTGTCCACATTCATAACATTCATAGGGTTTCTCTCCCGTGTGAATTCTGTGATGTATTATAAGATCTGAGCTTTGGTTAAAGGCCTTCCCACATTCATCACATATATATGGCTTCCCTCCACTATGAATTCTCTGGTGTAGGACAAGGTTTGAGCTTCCCTTGAAGGCCTTCCCACACTCTTTACATTCATAGGGATTCTCCGTGCTATGAATTCTCTTATGTCTAACCAGATTAGAACTCTGATTGAAGTCTTTCCCACACTCATGACATATATAAGGTTTCTTTCCTGTATGAATTCTCTGATGTATAATAAGATTTGAACTTTGATTAAAGTCTTTCCCACATTCGTTACATACATATGGTTTCTTTCCTGTATGAATTCTTTGATGTATAATCAGGTTTGAGCTCCGATTGAAAGTTTTTCCACATTCCTTACATTCATAAGTTTTCTTGTTATTATCAGTTTTCTGATGTTCAGTTACTTCTGACTTCTGTTTGAAGCTCTGGCCACAGACCTCATAACTGTGGGATCTCTCTCCAGCAGAAAGTATTTTTCTTCCTTCATTATTACATCCATGGCCACTCTCTCTTGCAATGGCTTTCTTGGGCATGAGATTCACTTCCCTGATACCTCTCTCTTGGGAAGGGGGCTGTCTCACTGCATCCTCAAAGGGGCTTACCCACTGCCTCAATAACCCATCCTCAGGATCACTGGTTTCGACTAATCCACATTCCTGGAAGATCTGCCTTTGGAGTCTTCCTGATACAGCCCTCGCTGAATCTTTATCTCCAGAAATTTCCATCTTTGACTTCCAGTTCATCTTATTCCTGGTCTCAGAATCTGAAATGATAAGCAGACCATTCTATAATTCCTAAAATACAAATATCACCTTTCCCTATGCTGGGAAGTCTAGGATCTAGGAGGGAGGAACAAAGAACCTAGAGGAGGACTTTTCCTCCCTTCCAGGGGTGAGATTCAGACATTTTTTGAGAGCTTGTGGCTACCACAGAACACATGCCCTATTGGTGGAGAATAAATTTGCCAGGTGTAGGCGGGAGCTAGTGTGTGGGAGTGGTTGATAGAATGGTGGAAAAATTCACTGAAGGAGGCGGGCAGTCTGGAGCTGGTCCACAAGAAGTAGCCTGTTTGATGGGGTAAGAACTTGCTGGACCCTCTGTGTAATAAAAAAGCACACCAGCACCAGGCAGAGAAGTTCCTTCCTTATTCTATGGCCTTGCATTGTCCCTCCAGAATCCTCTATTGACAAAATCTAAATCTTGTGCCGACTGGCAAAGGAGAAACAGTACAGATCTAGTAACACAAGCAAAGCAAAGAAGGGTAGATTTGGAGTTGAGAGGCAATAAATTAATAACTGGCATACTCTAAATTCCTCTAAATATACCATGACAATTAAACAAATCTGAAACCATGCCTCAAATAAAAACGTTTGACTGTCGTTTTAACAGAAATCAATTCTCCCTTTCTCAGACCTGGCATTTTGCTTTCTGGTATTTTGGTGGAATTGCCTCCTTTTGTATGGCAATTTTGTATCCTGTGACTGAAAGTTTTTGGATTTCTATATCATCAAATCCGTGACACATTTCTGAGCTCCTTGAGAGAGCCATCTCACCGTGGCCCTGGTGATATGAACTCTCTAGTCATTAATCTTTTGGCAATAAATAAGAGGCAACACAACATAGTGGTTAAGATCACAGGCTCTTAAGGGACTATAGGGCTAACCGCCTGCATTTGAATTCTGGCTCCATCTTTACTGACTGTGTGAAAGTCATTGGAGCTCTTTGTGCCTCAGTTTCCTCACTTTAAAATAGAGATAATAATAGTATTTACCTCATCAAGTTGTTATGAGAATTAAACATATGTAAACATATGTAAAACATTTAGAACAATGCTTGGCATATAAAAAGCACTATCTTACAGCTACTATTATTATTATGATTATTAATCTTTATTCTTTAAGCCGAAGAATTACCATTAAGTAATGTGTACCTAGCACAAACTCCATATCCAGGATGGATTTCATTTATTGGGTTGTTGGAAAATTCATGATGTATTTTTTCTATGTTTTTCATTGCAAAAATGCATCATGAATTTTCCAACAACCCAATAAATAACATTCAAATAAAATACTGGAATGCATTACTTTGCCATAATTTTCTCTTACAAAGTGCTTTTTTTTGGTTTGATATATATTGTTCAAAATTCAGAAACAGACTGAAAGATGGTAAAGGCATTTCTCAAAACTCATTGAAAACAATGAAAAGAATGACAAATGAAGTGAACTCCGTCTTCAAAAAGAGGGAGGGGTGTCACACAGAAATAAGGATTGTCCCTATAGAGATCTAGTTTGACTTATCAGAGTGGCAGGGGAGAAGGTGATAAAGAAGGAACCATGCCGGCAGGTCATTTCTATTATCTTCCACCTAGTTCCTAGCTAAGGAACACAGACAGAGGTGAAGCCAGGTGAAGAGGGAGTAGAGAGTGTGACTGTCAAACTGTATTATGAAAAGCCTGTGATCTAAAGGGCTTTTTCTTGTGCCATACTGATCTCTTGGAAACCAAAAGCTAAAGAGAAAAATGTCTGTAGATTAGAGGAGAGGGTGTTTGTTGCAGCAAATCTGCATGAAGACTTTGAAGCACCCTAGCTCAATTCCCTCTGCCTCTTCCCATAGTAATCTTTAATAGAGAGCCTGCTTCATTCATTGCTGAGTAGTAATCATTAAGGTAACTGTGGGATATGTGCTTAAAAACAGGTGGTGGCTATTGTTTTAGGAGAAAGCAAAGAACATGTGTAACAGAGGAATTAGGAGCATACATCCAAGAGGAATGTCAATGGAATTAATCAGAAACATCAGCAGAGTTCTCCATTATCTCAAAGAAATTACAGACAAAAATCAATCCTTAAGTAAAAACTCAAAAAAGAGATATAAGGCTTCAAAATAGATTTTAAAAGATTATAAAGCAATTTAAAAAGTGAGAATTTGGAAGAGCTGAGGAAAAAAATGGAAGGGAAGGGCCAGCCAAGTGGCTCGGTTAAGAGTTTGCTTAAGAGCACAAGCTCTGAGCAACAGGGCCGCTGGTTCGATTCCCACAGGGGCCAGTGATGCTGCGCCCGAACTGAGGATGGCTGGCTCAGCTGGTGAGAGCATGTGTTCCTAATGACAAGATTGCCTGTTGGATGGTGGGCTATGCCCACCCGCCGCTGGGACTGAACTCGGCACCTTGAGCTGAGCTGCTGTCCGGATGGCTCAGTGGATAGAGTGTGTGCTCTTAACAGCAAGGCTGCCGGGTTCGACTCCCGGATAAAAACAACAACAACAACAACAACAACCAACAACAACAAAAAAAAAAAGGAAGAGAAACTAAAACCATTATGTAGATGAAATTCACCTAAGAAACAAGAAAAATAATCACTACAGGGTCATGATGAGACCTGGAGAAATCACCCAGAACGAAATGGATAAAAATATGATTATAAACAAGACCAGTAGCAATAGAAAGATATTCAAATACATATAATTAGTGTTCTTAAAGAAGAGAAAAGAACAAACAGAAGGAAAAAAAATTCATGTATTTAACAGAAGAAAATATTGCTTAAATAAAGATTTGAGGGCCAGCCGAGTGGCGCGATGGTTGAGAGCTCGCTTGGGATGCCGGAGGGCCCCGGTTCGGATCCCACATGTGAGGGCCAGTGACGCTGCCCTCCGCAGCTGAGATGCTGAGCAGCAGCTCGACCTGGAGCTGGGCTGCCTGTGGGTCGCCGGCGACGGCGTGGGCTGCAGTCCCTGTGGCGGTGGATTGCCATGGGCTGCCGTGTGTGGCCAGCAGCCAGCGTGAGCGGCCAGCAGCCAGCGTGAGCGGCCAGCAGCCGCAGTGAGCGGCCGTCCGGAAGCCGGCGACTGATCTGCCTCGCCAGAGAGGAGCGCAGTGATGGTGCCAGCTTGGGCCAGTGAAGCAACGTCCTCCACAACTAGACTGAAGAACAAAACGACGGCAACTTGTCTGTTCCCCTTTCCCCAGTTCCCCGGCACTGTTCCCATCCCCCCAATTCCCCAATAAAAATCTTTAAAAAAATAAAAATAAAAAATAAAGATTTGAATATATTGGAAGGGGACACTGTGGCCCATAAAAAGTTGATATATAACAGTCAATACCAAGACATATCCTGGTGATATTAACTAAATTTCAGGAATAAATAAATAAATGGGCATGTAGGCAGAAAAGCAAACAATGTACAAGAGAGAATTTCAGGCTGACTTTACACTTCTCCAGTTACACTTAATGCCAGAATACAGCTCCGAATGGGAGGGTTCTGCTAATGTGGATTCAACCAACCACTGATTGAAAATACATATTAAAAAAAGTTACATTGTTGCTGACAAGTACTATGTAGTTAGGTATATGATGGATGCATCGATACTGAACATGTACAGACTTTTTTTTCTTGTCATTATTCCCTAAACAATACAGTATAATAAGTATTTACATAGCATTTACATTGTATTGGGTTTTATAAGAATCTAGAGATGACTGATTTAAAGTATATAGGAGGATATGTGTAGGTTATATGCAAACACTATGCTACTTTATATAAGGGACTTGAGCATCTGTGGATTCTGGTGTTCTTGGGGGTCCTGGAACGAATCCCCTGTGGATAGTCAGGGATGACTGTAGAGTAATGCCTATGAAGCTCTGAAGAGAAACACAGTGTGCTGCAAAAATTTTGTACCCAGTGATGTGTTCCTTATATTAAAAGCATAAGCACACATTATTGAGTAGGTAAAAACCTACTCGATGGGAGTATGACACCCATGAGCCCTTTTTGAAAAGAACTACTGGGCGTGCCAAAAAAATGTATACAAGTGGACACTTGGGTCAGCGTTGCTCAAGCAGTAGTTTGCCGTAATCAGAAGTGTCTGGACACTTATGGTAACCACTTTGAGCACCTCTTGTAATTGTAGAAGTCAAACGTGACTTGTATTCATCTTTTGTTATTGGTATATATTGAGTATTACAATTTAAATAGTTTTTTCCTTTCTTAAAATGTGTATACATTTTTTGGGCACCCTCTGTATTGGGCTGAAATAAAGCCAATGAAGAAATGAATTAAAATAAACATTCAGGAATTGAAAGGACATTGTAAAAGAATGTATATGGTGAGGGGCCGGCCCAGTGGCTCAGTTGGTTAAGAGTTAGCTTAAGAGAGTGAGCTCTGAGCAACAGGGCTGCAGGTTCGATTCCCACATGGGTCAGTGATGCTGCGCCCAAGCTGAGCTGCCAACAGGTGGCAGGATGGCTCAGCTGGTGAGAGCACGTGCTCCTAACAACAAGACTGCCTGTTCGATGGTGGGCTATGCCTGCCCGCAACTAAGACTGAACTCGGCACCTTGAGCTGAGCTGCCGCCTGGATGGCTCAGTGGATAGGGCGTGTGCTCTTAACAACAAGGCTGCTGGTTCGATTCCCTCATGGGATGGTGGCTACGCCCACCTGCAACTAATTGAACACAGCACCTTGAGCTGAGCAGTGTGACTGGACTTGGAGCTGAGGTTGCTGCCCCTCCACAACTAAGATTGAAGGACAATAGCTTGGCTGGTCCCCCTCCCGAATTCCCCAACACTGTTCCCCTCCCCCAATTACCCAATTAAAAAAAAAAAAGAATGTATGGTGAGACCTGAATCAATTTAAATGGAGAACTGAGATTAAACAATGGAAATTATTTTTGTAGAATAGAAAATAAATGCTTTAAACCATGACAATGTCAAAATAATTGTATTATAAAAATTGCACTGTGAGGAGAAGTGGTGGGAGTAAGTATAAATTGTGCTATTTTACCTATCTTTCATGACAAGGAATCAACAGATACCATCTAAAGGAGGAGAAATGTATGATTTTTAAAATTGACTGAAACCCTTAATGTATTTCATAATCATCTTTTTCATAATTTTAGAGGAAGAATCTTTTAAAGCTACAGAGAAACACTTTTTTCATAAATTTTTGTTGATTACAAAATCAAAAACAGAAAATAAGCACCCATAATCCCATGATCCTGCCACCCAAAGACAACCACTGTCAATGTTTTGTTGTGTATTCTTCAAGTTTTATTTCTGGGCACAGATTTTTTCTGATACAAAAATGGGATCATATTATACATGCCCATTTTGTCTTCTTTGCCCTACTTGTGGTATTGGAGCTGGACTTTGAAACATTTCTCCTTTGTCAGCTGGCTTTGTCAATAGAGGGCGCTGGAGGAACACTGTAAGCCATACAAAGAGAAAGGGATTTCTCTTCCTGGTATATGTAAGCTGTTTTGTTTTTTGGTGGAGCCACCAAATCAGCACATGGAAGGCTTGATAGCTTCTGGTGGACCAGCTCTGGCCCACCCATGCCCTCCAATGAGTTTTTCCACCACCCAGCAGGCCTTTCCTATGGACTATATGTACCCTTCAGTGAATTTCTCTGCCATTTGGCAGGCCATGCCTAGACCAGCTTCTTCATCCCCAGCAGGCTATGTCCCTTTGGCAGCCACAACCTCAACAAAAACATCTGAATCTCAGCTTTGGGCTGTGGGAGCCCTTTCTAAATTCTTTAGTTCCTTCCTTGTTTACTCCTAGTCCCAGCGGTAAGGCTGCTTCCTGCATTATCTGTTTCTATATTTCTTAAAGTCCTCATTTAACCCTTTTAGTAACTACCTTTTACTAGCTAAACATTCTTTATATTAAATGTCCCTTGTTTAAATTACTGGTATAGTTTTTGTCTCTTGACTGGATCCTGACTTGTAATGGATACATAATATAATTTCATCTTAGATCTAGAACAAAGTGAAGAAAAGTAGTAAGGGGGCTAAAAAGAGGAAACAAAAATTGTTTGGAAACACTCATTAAAGGACTCCTCTCTATGAGAATCATTCGGATCAACCTTTGCCACAGGCCTGGGTATGGCAGAGTACCCAGTCCTTAGTCCCACACAGCACTCTCTTCAGAGGTGAGTGGCCACACTGCCCAAATTTTTCATCCAATTCCACAGGTGAAAGGAATTGGGAGGAATTTAAGGAAATCTTTCCCTCAGAGGACGTCTGAAGTAGAAGGGCACAGCATCTGAAACATAGGCTCGATCAGAGGTGAGTCCTCTACAGCCCAATCCAGCTGACCTCAAAGTTTCTGGGAAAAGGGCCTCAGTGTTCATGTCATTCATTGATTTATTCACCTAACATACATAAAAACTGAGCACCAGCTATGTTCCAGACATTGTAGTAGGTATTGAGAATACAAAAATGAACATACATAATAGGGCTGGCCAAGTGGCTCAGTTGGTTAAACCAGAGCTTGAGCTCTGAGCAACAGGGCTGTCGGTTCAATTCCCACATGGGCCAGTGAGCTGCACCCGAGCTGAGCTGGTGAGAGTGTGTGCTCTTAGCAACAAGGATGCTGGTTCGACATCCATATTTGATGGTGGGCTGTGCAGTCACCCCCGCAACCCCGGCAACTAAGATTGAACACAGCACCTTTAGCTGAGCAGCCGTGAGCAGCTGTCGGGCAGATGGATGGCTCAGTGTGCAACAAGGTTGCTGGTTCAACTCCTACATGGGATGGTGTACTACGCCCTCCTACTCACCCCGCCCCCTACCCCCTGCAACTAGATTGAAAGCGGCGACTGGACTTAGAGCTGAGCTTGTGCCCTCCACAACTAAGATTGAAGGACAACAACTTGACTTGGAGCTGATGGGTCCTGGAAAAACACAATGTTCCCCTTCCCCAATTCCCCAACATTGTTCCCCTCCCCAATACCCCAATAAAAATCTTAAAAAAAAAAAGAACATAATATATGGTCCCTGCCCTCAGGAACTTACAGTTTAGTGGAAGGGAAATGTATGTAAATAGATAATATGATAGTGTCACCAGTGACCAATAAGGTAAGCACTATCTACAATGGGAAAACCTAGAATCGACAGAACCCTGCTGGTAACTGCATGTGGGGAAAGAAAGGAGTCAAAAATGACTTTTCAGGTTTCTGACTTGAGCAATGGGTGGGATATGGTGCTGTTTATGAAGACAGAGGACACAGGAGGAAGAGTAAGTTTCGAGGGTGGGAAGAGTAGGTATGAAGATTTGAAGATCAGTTGAGTTTTGGTCACCTATTGGTTTCTAACAGGACTATTACACGTAAGACAGAGACAGAGCAAGCGCAAAGAAAGTCAAAATCAAGGAGCTATCACCCTCCAACTCCACAGATCAGGCTAGCCACCCTTCAACAAAAAGCTGGAGCATCTGGCCTCCAGCAGTCAAAGCCATTGGGAATCCTTAAGCCTCTAATTCCACTGAGCTGGTAAAAAACTTGTCTTCTTTTTCAACCGAAACGCAGAGAGCTCAGAGTATATGGATTCTAAGTTGGAAGACAGAGCCCTTACCCAGTGGGACCAGCTGGGCCCCCTCCGCTAGCATCTCTTCCTTGCAGAGATCCCACTGAGTGCAGATCCAGTGCCCAGCATCCTTTTGTGATTCATTCACAGCCACATCCTGCAGCACCTTGAATTCCTGAAATAGAAGTTCCTGTTCAATAACTACCCAATAGAGCCAGCAGCAGATACTCCATATTTCCTCTTCTCTTTTAAAATCTCTACTACTTCCCACAGCAGTAGATAATCTTGCCCCTCATTTTTAAAATGTGTGAGACCATGTGGTAAAAAAAAAAATCACCTCCCATCACCTTGTCTTTTCAATGACACTTTGTCTTTACTGTATTTCTTCTCTTCCTTCTCTAATATCTATCTGCTCTTTAACTGAGCCCCTCCTGTGGGCCAGGCAGTGTAGTGATGAGAATGACAATACTATACAACAATGAGGAGGACAGAGACCCTCTCCTTGAGGAGCCTGTGGTGGCTGTTACAGACAATGTCAATTAAATGGGTTAAGTGCTCAGAAGGTAAGTATGGGGTGCTGTGGGACCTCATGGGAAGAGTACAACCTTGCGGGGGTGGGATGGGTGAGGAAACTTCCTGAAGGAGAGCTTCTAAGCTGAGGCCTCAAAGACAATTTGAGATAACTAGACTAAAAGAAAAAAGAAGGGCTTTTCAGATTGAGGCTATAGCATGTACAAAGGCCAGGAGGTGAGAGAAGCTATGATGCATTCATGGACGCACCATGTGACTAAAGCCCAGGGTACTGGATAGTGAACCGTCAGCTGGTAAAGTCATGGAGGGCCTCGTATACCAAGCTAAGAAGTTTGGACTTTCTCCTGAAGACAATGGAAACCACTGAAGGGGTTAAAGCAGGAGAATGACATTCTCAGGTTTACCTTTTTAAAAGACTGTTCTGACTGCTTTATAGAGAACGACTGAGGGGTGCAAGGCTGAAAGTTGCAATATCAGTCAGGAAACTACAGCAGTAATCTATGTTGGAGATAGTGAGAGCCTAAATGAGCTATTGGCAGTGGGGACAGAGAGTAGATTGAGTCAATATATTAAAGAAGCAACAACAGGCATAACTGGAGATACCCTAGGTAGAGGGGATGAGCGAAAAGAGCAGGCATTTAGGATGCCATCCAAATTTCTAACTTGAGCAACTGCCTAAGGGGATGAGGGAGAGGCAGTAGTGAATTCCATTTCAGATACGTTATGCTTGACATACCTGTGGGGCGTCCACGAGGGAATGTACAGGAAGGTGATGGATCAATGGGTCAGAAACCCAGGAGGAAAGTCTAGAATTTCGACAGGTTTTGGAATCATCAGCATACCAATAGTGTCTAATGCAGAAAAGTGACACTGGTATTACAGCTTGGCGATAGCTTGGAGTCCTGAACAGAACACAGGCTTCTGGAAGCAAACTGAACCAAGTTAGAATCCCAGCTTCGTAATCTCCCTCAACCATCATTTCTCCAAATGTAAAACAGAAAATACTACTTATTCCAAAGTGTTATTGTACAGGTTAAAAAAATAAACCCCAATATATAGAAAGCTACACACCACTCCAGTGTAAGCCTCTCAAGAATGTAAGCTCTGTGGGGTGGGAAGTCTTTGTTTTGTTCAGTTTTGGAACAATACCTCATTGCTAAAAAAACAAAAACAAAAGTTGGATAAATGAATAGTAGGTTAACTCTCTTTCCTTTTTCCTTTGACAAAATAATCCCTGGAATTCTTTTCTCCCTTGGCTTCTATAATGCATGACACTCCAACCACTCTACCGTTTTTTGTTTTGTTTTGTTTTGACTGTCTTTACCCTTCAGCTTTCTCCTTCTATTAAATGTTGGTGTTACTAAGGCTAAGCCCCTAGTTCTCTCTTTTTACATTCAATATCTCAATGACCATATCACTTCTGGCTTCATCACCTTTGTCCAGAATGAATCATAAATTTAAAACTCTTCTTTAGTCTGCATTCACAGTGCATCTCCAGTCCAATTGGTCTCACTGAGAAGTCAAGATGAATCAAATTGATAAAAAATGAACTTATAATTTTTGATTCTAAGCTTATTCCCCCTTCTTACTATCCATTTCTGTCCAAAAGACCAGATTTTGTGGAGCAAATATTTGTCATAAGCCTACACTGTCCAGCACTGTTCTAGGCCCCAGGATACACTGGTGAAGATGACAAAGCCCCTGCCCCAATGGGGCTTGTATTCTAGGAGTTTCTCAGCCAGAAACACAGTTTAGTGCCACCTAAAATGTGATCCATACACCAGCAACATTAGTCACACCCAGGAGCTTGGTAAAAACGCAAATTTACAAGCACCATCCCAGAAGGAGTCAGAGTCTGTGGGGGAGTGGCCCAGCAATCTGTGTTTACCAAGCTCTCTAGGTGATTTGTAGCTATGCTACAATTTGAGTAGCACTGCCCTACTCATCTTGGAAGCCACCTTCTCTATTCCCTCTGTCCGTACCTACTACCCAACTCTGAAAACTGCTCCTTTGAGTCTCTCCAACCACATCTTAATTCAGAATCTTCTCACCTCATCCTTGGATTGCTGTGAAATCTCGAAAGACGTTTTCTGGCTCCAATCCGTACTGGTAACACTGTCAGATGAAATGACTTTCTAAAACACTGCTTTTACTGACACCAATGAGCAAAAACCTACCATGAATTTTCTATTACCTATTAAAGGAAATAACACCTTCTTTTTGACTTACAGAGAGAGCTGTATTAGCAACCTAGGGCTGCCATAACAAAGTACCATAAGCTGGGAAGCTTAAAACAACAGAAATGTACTCTCTCACAGTTCTGGAGGCTAGAAGTCTGAAATGAAGGTGTTGGCAGGGTGGCTTCCTTCCGCAGGCTCTGAGGGATAACTTCCACACCTCTCTAGCTTGTGATGACAGCTGGTAATCCTTGTGTTCCTTGCTTTGTAGATGCATCACTCCAATCTCTGTCTCCATCGTCATATGGCATTCTCCCTGTGTCTGTCTCTTCATATGGCCATCTTCTAAGGATACCATCACATTGAACGAGGGGAGCATTCTACTGCAGTATGACCTCATCTTACCAAGTTACATTTGTAATGACCCTATTTCCAAACAAGGTCACATTCTGAGGTACTGGGAACTAGGACCTCAACATATATTTTTGGAGGGACACAATTCAACCCACAACAATAGCCCTACTCTATTATTTACCCCTAAAAGCAAACCTATGCTCTAGAATCCTCCCTAATTTTCCCATATACGATGCTTCTCACCATTCCATCCCTTTGCCCATAACTCTCCTACTTAGGATGCCCTTCCTACTCACCTCTGTCTACATCTGGAATCAAGTTCTCAAATGGGGGGGGGCCAAACGAGTGGCTCAGTTGGTTAAGAGTTGGCCTGGGAGTGCGAGCTTTGAGCAGCAGCACTGCCGGTTTGGTTCCCACGTGAGCCAGTAATGCTGCACCCTCTATAGCTAAAATGGTGAACAACAGCTCAACCTGGAGCTGGGCTGCCGTGAGTGGCCAGCAATGGTGTAGGTGCAGTGGGGCTGCAGTGGGCTGCCATAAGCTACTGTGAGTGGCCGGCAGCCAGTGTGAGCAGCCAGCAGCTGATGTGAGCTGCCAAAGGCCAGCGACCGATCTGCCTCACCTGGGAAGAGCACAATGATAAAACAATATGGGCCAGTGAAGCGACGTCCTCTACAACTAGACTGAAGAACAAAAAAAGACAGCAACTTGTCTGTTCACCTTCCCCAATTCCCCAACGTTGTTCCCCTCCCCCAATTCCCCAATAAAATCTTAAAAAAAAAAGAAAAAGAACTCAAATGGATGCAAGAGGCCAGGCAGTTAGTCAGAGTGAAGCAAACCAGGTGATACATGACCTAGCTTCAGTGTCAGGGAGAAAATGGATTAGTGGGCACAGGGGATCTGGAAATTTTATACTGAGTCTAAAGGATGGAATTGCTACTCAACTCCTGCTAATAGCACCATGCAGGCATGTGGGCCCCGTTTGGCCACATCTTCTGATTTTTCAAGAGATACTGAAAATCTAGATTTTTGTAGGAGTGGATGTGAAAGAAATTTCCTGATTTTAAAATGTTAGCCACTAATCAAAATAAAAACAAAGAGCATGAGCTAAGAAAATGTGTGTACAGTCTGATCTGGCCAGGGCCCATCAACCTCTGACTTACACAAATACTTTCCACTATTGCAGGCCCACTTCAGTTAGTACCTTCTAACCATTTCAACACTTTCAAATTCATATTCATGTGCACGCATTAGGTAATGCTAAACAGAGTCCCTGCCTAGAGAGCGGCCTGAAAGAAAGACACACACACACACACACACACACACACACACACACACACACACACACCCCTTACACAGGGTAATAAGTGCTTATGAATTAGACAGTAAATAAACATTAGCTAAATAAGCTTTAAAAAGATGACAAGCTTAAAGATGGAGGTAGGGAGGTGGCAATCCTGGAGGGCTTCCTTCCCGAAGAAAATGGCTTTTGAAGCTATTCCTAAAAGGATATGCAGACCTTTACAAAGAAGAGTTACCAGCCTAAATCCTCCCCCTCCTCTGAACTCCAACAATACAGATATTTTAGATTAAGTATTAGAATGTCTGAGCCATATATAATAGTTCATTCCCGTAATTCAGTCTAGTCTCCCCAACGGTGCTGTCAGGTACACCTGGAGCACAGACACCAGGTCTTGTACATTAAGTTACATCTACAAACGCGCCTGCCACAGCGCTGGGCAAGGAATAGGGTCCACTTACACCTGAGGGTTGATTCTGGGTCTGGGGGGGATCGTTTGCGGTACCCACCGCAAAAAGGGGGAGCTGGGTAAAGCAGTAAGACGCAGCAGGGGGAGGGCGATGGACAGGGCACGCTAGAGACCAAGAAGAGGACCGAGGGCATAGAAGGCCCAGCACCACGGACCACGTGCCTACGTCCCGAGACCCTAGCCTCTGCCCACACGGAGAAGAGAGGTGTCCGCCGCCTGCCTCCGGAGATCTCTCCACCCCGCTTCCCGGAGGGACCCAGGCGCAGGGGCCCCAGCTCTGCGAACGCAAAGGAGTCTCACCTCCAGGCCACCCCCAGCCTCCCGCTCGACTGGGGCCCCCTTCACGGCCGCCATCGCGCAGCCCCTGCTTCTCACGCGGGCGCGGAGCCAACACCTTGGACACCGCGCCAGCGGCCAGGCGGCCACTTCCGGCGTGCTCCCGAAGGAGGCGGTACCCCTGCTCCCCGCGCCCCCCTTTCCACCCCGGCTGTGCCCACCAATCCGCGAGCGCGCCCCCAGGCCGCCTCCCACAGGCTCAGGTGTCTCCTCTGCGCAGACTCAGCCGTCTCGGTCGTCCGTGGGGTCCCGCGTGAGTCGACTGCTAGAGGGTCTGGCGCTCCGCGGGTTGATGCACCTGTTGGCGCAGACACTCTGTGGGCGATGTTACCACTGAGATGCAGCGTCCTCTAGGGGTCCTAGACCCGCCTACGGCCGGGCTTTGGGCTCTGTCAGTCTGGGTGGACGAGCCTATCAAATAATTTTAAGTTAATAATTTATTCTGCCTTTTTAATCGCTTTATTTTCCCCCATTCATGTTTTTGTGGTCTCATACAGAGATAAAGAAAGATAAGGTATTGTTAAAAAGGCAAGTTCTGAAGTCAGAAAGTCAGACACTCAGAAAGTCAGAAGACCTGACTCTCCAACTTATGGGCTATGTGACTTTGGGCAAGTTACTTAACCTCTCTGAGGTTAAGGATCATCCATCCTCCTTTTTCTCACTGATTTTAAATGCTCTCTTTATCATCAATTAAGTTTACATATGTATATGGTTATGCATTTTCGGTATGTTTCTGTTCACTTACATATTTGTCTCTTCCTTGATCATAAACTTATAATTATTGTGAGCTTTTAAATATGTTTCAAAATCTGGTAGGGCTAGCCCTCTCTCCATTTACTCTTCTTTTTTCAGAAAAATTGTAACCATGAATGCTTTCTTGTGTTTCTTATGTTACTTTCAAAATAACAAAATAAAGATTTCTTTTTTGTTTAAAGAACCCAAATCTGCTTAAGCCAGAAGAATGAAAATGGAGAGCCTAGGGAAAGGCAGTAGTTACGTTTACTTTAGAGTCGTTTATTTTGGCGTTTTTTTTTGTTTTTTTAAAGAACTCTTCTTTCTGATCTCTTCTGGGCTTAACATGCTGTCCCTGCAGTAGCAGGGATTCATTATGTAATTCATTTGTTCTACAAATACGTATGGAGCACTTGCTCTCTGCCAGGCACTGGTGATATAATGAGTTTTGAGCAAAACCCAACGCCCTCTCATGGAACGTGTGGAGGAGATATTCAAACAATTCCATGAATAAATACGAAATGGTAACTGTGGTGATTGCTATGCTTGAGAGTTACATAGTGCCCTAAGAGCTTATAAAAGATTTGACCTACATAGGAAGGTTTGTGAAAGCTTGCTGGAATCCGGCTTCCCCTGAAGAGTTAGGCAGATGAAGAACAATGAAATAGTAGAAACCCAACTCTAACTTGACCATAACTTGGCTCATGTAACAGGAAAGTCCAGGGGGATAGACTGGCTTCAGGAAAGGCCAGAATTCAGGAATTTAAACACTGTCATCAGGACTCCTTTCCCTCTCTCCATCTCTTAGTCTTGCTTTTTTCTGTGTTGACTTTATAGATTTTTTTTCTTTTTTTCTTTTTAACCACATGGAGATGTCTCAGTGCTCAGGATTACAGGAGACCATCCATAGCAATTACAGAAAAAGGACTCTGCTTGGTTTTGCTTGGATCACAGGTTCAACCCTGGACCAATCAATCACTGTATCCAGTGGATGAGGTACTGGATTGGCCAGCTTGAATAGTGATTGGGATGTGGATGTGGGAAGGGAGCCATGTTATTACAAGACCCATCAGGTGCTGGAATGAAAAGATAATTTTTTTGGTTTGTTTTTATTTTTATGAGAAAAATGAGACAGCTCTTTGGACAAAGTAGCAGATTTCTACTATGGGAGAGATGTCTACTATAAAGGGAGAGAATTACAGGCTGCAGGAACTACATGTGCAAGGTCCTGTGGCAGCTGGCAATGTGTCTGAGAAACTGACAACTCGTGTAGGTGGACAGCAGGAAGGGCTCAGGGTGGCATGAGATGAACTTGGAAAGATTGGGCCATACCACAGAACATCTGGAAAGCCATATGTAGGCTTTTTAGCTTTATCCCAAGGGCAACAGAGACCTATTAGGAGTAACACGGGGCTGGATATTTGGGTTTAAGGAGGGGGAGTCACTATCCTACTACAACTGCACTGGAGACCCCAAGCGAGAATTGCCCAGCCCAGACAATTGAGAACTCCTAACCATAGAAATTGTGAGAGTTAATGAAATGATTATTGGTTTTTTTTAAGCCAGTAAATTGGTTATGTAGCAATAGATAACCAAAACACTATGCATCTATGTAACTTTGTATCAATTTTCTCTGCCATATTCTCATTTGTCAGTGGTTTTGCTTGTGATTCAAGCAATTTCCCCCATCACTTTTATGTACTGTGTGGAAATCCTTCTTTTGTTTGAAGATTTGCAATTTTACTTTGTAATAAATTCTCATTGCACAGTATTTTTATTTTATTATATAATGTTTACATCCCTGGAGAATAAGATGTTAATTTGATAGGTGGGGGTAGATATGAATATTAAGTGGGGAGGGATTTTTGCAAGGGGACTAATTAGAAGTTGATAGTTAAATATTTTCATGATTTGATTAATTTTCCCTATCCAGATTCATAACTGAGGAGACGTAGATAATGGATATTTGAAAAATGAAGACCCCAGTAATCATGTTTAGGGCAGGGCTGTTTCATTGGTGATAAAGGGTAAGGAAACTTGAATCCCTTCATTGTCAGTGCAGTGATTTTAGGTTGCCTTTGAAAGCTTTGTGACTCACAGTGGCCTCTTTGTTATAGTTATTAATGTTAGAATCATAGAGATAAATGGCACTCTGAAGATCATAGCTTTCTATCTCATTTTTTGAAAGTAATCAGCCTTCCTTCTTCCTGTCCATCTTCCCTCCTTCCCTCTCTACCTTCCTTCCATAATATTTATTGGACTCCCATGTGTGCAAGGCATTGAAGATACAAAATTGAACAAAAAAAAGCATTGAATAAAAGGCTACAAATGTTTATGTTTTTCTTATTAGCAATAGACATTTATTTAGCAGTTACTATGCTTTGCTATTCTTTTCTGCATGCAGTTTTACAAATTTCTCACCATGTAAATTAGAGACCAAACAAAATCAAGAAGAGAGGAGAGAAAGAAAAATACATTTACATAAAGGAGATAATCTGTTAACTTCTTTATTTTTTTTTTTAAGATTTTATTGGGAAATTGGGGGAGGGGAACAGCATTGGGGAAT